ATATATGTGTTGAAGTGATTAAAACTAGCTGTAGTCTGAGACTCCGTCCGTGCGTGATAAAAAAAATTATTAATCATGTTCTATATCTATGCCAGAATTCATTAAGATCCGTCATCTCATCGGAGTCATCTTGGAGAAACCTTTTAAAATATATCCTTCCATCTAAACATTCGCATTTATTATATTAGAAAGATTTAATTAACTTGAAATGAAATGCAATGTAATATTGAATACAAATATATGAGATTTCAAGAAATAGTTAAGATTTTATCACATGAGGATATTATTAAACAAATCGTCCTTTTCTAGAATTTAATATCCATGTATGTAAATCTGTGCTGAACAGATTAGCAGTGTCGGCTTGTTGGCGCCTCTTTGACTCAACATGATTTATGCATCTCAGTCGCCTATCAGCCATTTCAAAGTATTTATTGCCTTCCGATAGTTGAAGTGAAGTGGACTACTCGTATGATTTATAATCTTTCACAAGAAATATTATGTATATTTTAGACCAATTCATACCATAGACAAATTGCATAGTTGAAACTTTTTTTGTCGGCGACAAAATATCTGAAAAGGTAAACATAGTTTTGGTGCTAGATTGAAATAAAATATAGTTGATAGTTCTACTTTTCTCCTAGTAAGTGAGATATATGTATGTTAATATGAAGATAATTGGACTGCCATGACCGCAGACCAAACGCAGAGCCTAAGATAGAGCGACTTAGTTGCGCACTGTGGACGCCCTCTGCCCTACTACGGGGACATAGGACATTAAGTCAAGTGAGATGTAGATGGTTAGATTTCCTCCCTGTAGCCATATACTTCCCCCTTTTTAACGTTGTAGTTGTGTACAACGAATACCTTTCAATGCAAAACTGCTTGTATACTATGTACACGCATTGCACTTGAGTGGAGACTACTTACTGATGCGTAGTCAATGAGCCGTGATAGTGCCGACCACTCCAACTCGAGGATTTCCCCAACCCTAGTAACTTGACAAAGCATTGGAGCGGTACATCTAATAATGCAACCAGCCCTAGTAATACCTACCTGTATTATGTCAAGGAGCTAACTAGGCTTCGCCAATATAAAGCTATAGACAAAGGATTTAGTATTCACAGAGAGTGTTGATTAGGTAAAGAAGTTTTAAGATATAGTAGATAGTAATAAGGATGGGGCAGTGTTGATTTCGCACTTTATTATCCTACGTCAATAACTTCATGTGGTATACTTAATGTAAATTTACTAATTGTGGATTTCTGAGACGATAATTTCCGTTTAAAACACACTGTTATCGTTATTTCTGTTATATCAAAGATATTGACAAGGATGACGAAGTGATTTGGTCTCAGAAACCAATGGTAAGATCATGGTTGCTGCAAATATAAAAAATTGTTGTTTTAAACATTCGATTTCATATTTCTCAGAACCTTTCTTCTTTTTAAAATTAAATTTCTGCAATTGGAAATGTTTGCCCTCAACAAAAATTAGGATTTGAATGATAGGTATTTCTTTATAGTTTAATTTTTAAATCTTTTGATGTTGCATTTGTAGAAATAATAACAAGCACCGTTTTGAAATAATGTTTGAAGTATATTTCATCGAGTTCATTTGTTTGAAAAAGATTTATGTAAACAGGATTTTAACAAGATGCTAGGCTTCCTACCAGAATATAGCCCACTGTGTTACAAATTTGCGATTAAATTTTAATAAATCTGAAATGCTGCTTTAAAAACTTAAAAAAAACATCTATGCGGACATGACAACAAGTTTTTATAAATATCTGATAGTGGAAACTCACAACAAGAACACATTCAAAGAAAGCATGCATAAATCTCGTGCAAGTCTAATACAAGAGGAATATATCAATGAACTCATCGTTATAGGGTTGCCCCGCGCACCGCTGCTCCCGTGCCCCGTGCCCCCTATACCCCGCCCCATGACCCACATTGGCCGCTCAAGAGGCTGCGGGCTCGATGCGGATGTCGTAAATACAAACACGTGCCACAAACAACATCTGCGCCCTACAACTGATTGTTCTATACTTTATTAATATATACTTAACGTGAGTTTCCACTGACCGTACAAAAAGTTCTGATCCTAGCTTCCATTTGTTATTAAGAAAACAGAGCCACTTGATACGTTGAGATAATGAATTTTTGATTTGCCACTGCTGTCGCCCACGACTTCTTCCGTGCGGAATTAAAAAACCTGATAAGTGCCTATGTTTTATTCCAGATTGTTCTATATGTGTGCCAAATTTCATAAAAATCCTTTGAGACGTTCCGGAGATACCTTCAGACAAACGTTCATCCAAACATTCGAGTTTATAATATTAGAAAGACAGTAAGAACAAGAGAAAGAATTAGGTAAGCAACATTCTAATAAAAATAATATTGTCAATGTTATTTTGTCTATGGTAGAGGCTATCGTGTGTCAGAAATAGCGGTGACCGTTTGATTACGTGTCTTTATCCGTGACTCTTGGTCCGGCAATTGGCACGAATTAGGGCCGCGACCCACGATCTTGTTGTATGCTCCTGTATGAATGAGGCCTTTTGGGATAAAAAAGTCCTTTATGAAGTGTTTAAAAAGGAATTTATTTCAGTTCTGTTGGAGTAAATAAAAATATGTGTTTGAATTTAACGTTTTTATGTTCATATACCGCAGAGGTTACCTGAAAACGGCAACTTTATAATTAACGCTTACAAAAGGCTCACCGTCTACAGGATTCTTGCCGTAAAAGAACGTTCCTGTGTACACATTGTCTAGAGCTAGACAGCTTTTAAGTCTGTAAGGTCTGTTTGCAAACACTAAAACAACCGCTCAAGTTTGCACAACTGTTTTGTTGTTCTAACGCCGGCACTTTTTCAAGAAAAAGATAGTTACATTGTTATACACAAAATATTATAAATATACATCTAGTAAAAATAATTATTATTTGAATTAAATTGTGATGCAAAGCAATCGGTCGCTCGATAAACAGATTTGGTTAAAAAATTGTTTTTTAAAGATCTGTTTTTATTCTAGATATAGACTAACCATATATGAAATAAATACTTACGTGTATCTGTCTTTCAAAAGACGAGAACGATGACAAAATGATTTTGTAAAAGAGATTCAGCAGTAACAGCACACAATATTGTGTCATATGACAATCGTAAGTCACATTTGTCATTTCCTTTAGTACATTGTCATTAAATATACATTAAATGTCGGTAGTAACCCGATACTTAATAATCTGACTGGACTTGACTATACTTCGTACTCAGAGATGCGTCATTGTCGACTGTTCGACCAATTAATTTGCCGTTTAAGATGCGGCAGGTAACTCTCTGCCCACTATTAAACTCTATTATATTGTCAAGTATTACTTCATCCTTATGTTAAATATTCAGAGCCACATTTACGAGTGTTCCACTAATAAAAGATTCAAACTTTGTTTCAGCTTTTGCTTAACTAAAAACGCATGTTCCTTGTATCCTGCGAATACGTCTAAAATATCCGCAACGTCTTGTACGAAATTGCGAGCCGTCATAAAGTTTGGATAGTACTGTAGTCAAAATAAATTTAAAGTACAAAAATGCATTTATCTCTGCCCATCCCAATAATAATAAAAAGGATTTAAGATATTCGTAGAATTCGTTGTATTGCATTAAATTGCATTAGTAACATTTGATATGGTTCTGCATAGTTTTATGATAAGCTTTGATAAGAGATGATAAGAAGTTTTATTATTAAAATTGATAACGCTTTATCGATATAATTTTTATTCACTACTAAAAGTTTTTAGATATACTGTAATAATTGTTTTGATGTAAACTTGTTTAATAACATGTATAATCAACAAAACACTTATGTGTTCTTGCAACAAATGGTAAATAGCAGTTAACTTATTGATAAGTATCTGTGAGTGCAAACAATAAGCACAGCTTCGAACCCACGACTACATACAATGCGCCAAGGTTGTTCCCACGCCGCTACCGTATTGTGTTAGGGTTTTGTTGTCTTGTATGTATGAAATTAATTACCTTTGATGAATCATCAATATTCAACTTACAGCTGCTTGATACCAGAATTATTTTTCATTAAACTGAATTCAATTCCGCCAGGACTTGTTTTATCTCAGAATTGTATACAAATGTATTCAAACCAGATGTGATGTACTATCAGGGGATCTGGCGGTATTCCACGTTGAAAGCAACCGATGTCTGAACGTTTCGTAAAGATTTAAATTTTAACGCGGAAACAATAACCAATAGAACGCAGCTTTTAAATATCTGCGAAAAATAGTCGACCACAGAAACAACTAATAAGTCGCTTGAAGAAGATAGTTAGTCTCGTTGAAAAGCAATTTTTTGTAAGTGGAACACCGCTAAAGACCGTGACTGTACCATAATTTCGTATAAAACCTTAAAATGTTTTGTACATAAAATGTATCGTAATGTCGGTTAATTGTCCTTTTTATTGTTTAAATGTGCAGTTACTGAAAGTGATTTTCCAGGTTAACAAATGGAGACTGTACCTGTACTGTAGTAGTTAGTTTGTAAAACAGCGACAAATTAAAATTTAACCTTTTGTTATGAATCCATTACACTCTCGAGCGGTCGGTGTGCCGTGCGGTCGCAATTTAAGCCGGCAGTGGAGTATAAAATGAATGGAATTACGAGTCTCGTTGCTTTTATAGCTGACCTGCTTCTTAGAGTGCGGCTTTGTACGTTGCATTTTAAATTTTAATTCGGATTTATCTCTTGAGACCTATTTTCATGGTTGCTTTATATCTTGTAATAATTAATTGATTTTTAAAGCTTCTTATAATGTTTTTATTGCACTTTTTATTTTAGTTCCTAGTTAAGACGAGTCGTCATTATATGTAATCCTACAATTAAAAATAACCTGAACGACAGTATGTGTATGTGTACTTTACCAAAAAGTAGACAAGTTCATTGTACACTTACAATATTCATGGTGATTTAAATATTTGTTCTCTGTTTCCAGGTGGTGAAGGAAGCGCGGCAGAATGCCGGAGGGCGTGGCCAAGGAGGCCAAAGAGGCCAAGGATGACAAGAAGAGCAAGGCCAAGGAGGCATCTCCCCGCCGTCGCCCCACGGGGAACCTCGCTAGAGCCAATGTCGAACTCCTCGACGGCTCCAAGATGGAGCTTGATGTCGATGTAAGTATTGCATGCACATATTTAACATTATAAATGCCAAATTTTAGATGAAATTTGCCACAGATGTAGAATATAATCTAGAAGAATACATTCTACTAATTGCGCAAGATGGGAGCGATGACTGAAATGAGGAATGATAAAATAGGTCTGTCTGGAGTACTAAAATCTCGCACGTTGATCCCATATAGATTGGGATACGAAAATGACGATGATGAATTGATAAAATAACTGTATGACGTTGTTGTTTCCAGAGGAAAATTCGAGGACACGAGCTGCTGGCGAAGGTGTGTGATTCCCTCAACCTGGTGGAGAAGGACTACTTCGGGTTGCTGTACGAGGATCGCGGTGACCCTCGCGTATGGATTGACCTCGAGAAGAGAGTCTCCAAGATGATTAAACGTATGTCATTGCACTTTAACTGTCATATCCAATAAAAAATGAATATCTATAGAAATATGCGAAAAGTTACTGTTTGTATTGGTCTCCTGTTAGTTTTTTATCATTGATTTCTCTGTGATGTCAGGCGAGCCGTGGGAGATCAGGTTTGCAGTGAAGTTCTACCCACCGGAACCTGCGCAGCTGCAGGAAGAGCTTACCAGGTACCAGCTGGTGCTGGCAGTCAGGAGGGACCTGCTTGAAGGTGAGTTACAAGTAGAAGAAGAAAACACCGACATGAGACTACAATTAATTGAGGAATTTCTTAATATTCTTTTAACAATATAAATCCATGCTAACATTTTTGAAGAGGAAACGTCATGTTTCTAGCTGTTTTCCTCGTGTGTCTTAGGGTTTTAATGTTGTTCACTAGCTCATACAAGTCCCCATGCATGTATTACTGCCTACACTAAGTTAGGTTTGACTAAGTAAGTCAAACACACTTGCCCATCGCTATTTGATTGATTTTATAAATCTTTGAATTTCGTCACAGATATTAGACATGTCAACTACTATACTAATTCATTGTGTGCAGGTCGTCTGCCGTGCTCTGCGGTGACGCACGCGCTGCTGGCGTCGTACCTGCTGCAGTCGGAGCTGGGGGACCACGAGGAGTCGCAGGCGGGGGCGGCGCTCTGCAGACAGCTGAAGCTGGTGCCGCCCGCAGCCTGCACACCCGAATTGGAGGAGAAAGTGGTGGAGCTACATAAGACGCATCGGTGAGATACATAGAAGATGAGCAAGTGGCCATCCGAATTCACAGAAATAGCGAAAAGAAAGCATTACCTACCTTTAGTCGACATCATAAAGATACTGAAAAAGAGAATACATATATCCCACCTTCATCAAATCCATTTCAGCTTCCCATCCCTTCCTTATAAGAAAATGTTGGCAAGGAAAAGAGGAGAAAAATTAGGGCTCCAAAACGCAAAACTTATTCACTTAGAGTTGTTAATTGACCATTGAAGGGAACCCTAAGTGTAGATTTATCATATTAAATGTACACTAACTGATTGGATCAATATTATAGGCATTGTAAGATACACAATTAAGGTATGTTGTTGTTGTGCAGCGGTCAGACGCCGGCAGAGGCGGAGCTGAACTACCTGGAGAACGCGAAGAAGCTGGCAATGTACGGCGTGGACCTGCACCCCGCCAAGGACTCTGAGAACGTCGACATCACGCTCGGCGTCTGCTCCTCCGGACTCCTCGTCCACAGGGAGAAGTAACACGATCAATAATATTATTAATGCAAATATTTGGATGGATGGATGAATGTATGTTTGTGAGAAAGTATCTCCAGATTGGCTGAACTGATTTTGATGAAATTTAACACAGATGTAGAAGATAGCCTGTAAGAACGCATAGATTACTTACCATTCTTTTATAATACCGCGCAGACGGAGTCACGGACGAAAGCTAGTTTATAATATTGGTAATATTGTAAGATGTATATTGTCAGGTTACGTATCAACCGTTTCGCGTGGCCGAAGATCCTGAAGATCAGCTACAAGCGTCACAATTTCTATGTGAAACTGCGACCCGGAGAGTTCGAGCAGTTCGAGTCCACGGTCGGCTTCAAGCTCGCCAACCACCGCGCTGCCAAGAAACTATGGAAGACTTGCGTCGAGCATCACACCTTCTTTAGGTAATGTCTTTTTAATATTATATGACGATAGACTCGGATTATCTATAGAATTATGTAATAGTGGAAATTTTCTTTTGGTTTTCATTGAATTTTAAGAGGAACTGCATTTTTTTTTCACTTCTGTAAGAATCAGCCGTTCAAAATACACTTGAAATCAATTTTTTCATCATAGGCATAACTAATTGTTGCTTGTTTAATCATTTTGGTGCCCCTAGTTTAAAAAAAAACAATAATTGATTGTGTGTATGATTGTATGTATGTGTGTGTATGTATGTATGTATGTATGTATGTAGACTGATGAGCCCGGAGCCGGCGGCGCGCGGCACGCTGTTCCCGCGGCTCGGGTCCCGCTTCCGGTACAGCGGGCGCACGCACTACGAGTCCCGCGCCGCGCCCCCGCAGCGCGCGCCCCCGCACTTCGCCCGCACACTCTCCTCCAGGAAACTCTCCTCGCGCAGCATGGACGGTACGTACATCATCTCGCGGTACGCAAGTCTATGTGTTGGTGAGCTGCACGGCGCTCTCTGTTTTAAAGATCTGTCAGTACATGTTAGCTGGCTTACGAGTCGTCTACTTGCATAGTAATAGAAGATCGCGTTGAGCCGTAAAATAATGATTCGATTGTTGAACCGCAGCTCAACGATTCGAGTCTATGTGAGCTGATCTTTTGAACCGATTCAGAGCTGATTTATACACAAGTATACGTCGAGAACGCATAAAAAAGTTTATTATATGAAAATGTATTCGCATTTGCGAATGTCATCTTGGATGTTGTTCAAATATATAAACTTTAGTATTTGATCATCGACTCGTTTACATGATATGATTTCACGAAACGCGAAATGTAACACTCTCGAAATAAACGGATAACGAGAAAAATAACTTTGTCAATGACAATTATATTTGTGCCGCGACTCATTCATTTGCTGTCACCGACATGACACGTTCCCTTGCAGTATTAGTTGTGGGTTTCTGAGACCTAAATCTCTATGAAACATATCACCATATCTGTCATTATCTTTGACTAAACAGAGTAAACAATATGTTTTAACGGGGATTTTAGTCTCAGAAACCCATGATAAATGATCTTTTATTAATTGTAACTCTTACCGTGGATTTCTGAGAAAAAAATTCCCCGTTTAACATATACTGTTATCTCTGTTTTGTCAAAGATAATGACAGGGATGATGATATGTTGTATGGATATTTTGGTCTCAGAAAGCAACGGTTAGAGTTATTAAGTTGATAGTAATCTAAACTAAAGGTCTGTTTTCTGAGTACGATGCTAATGCTTAGTAGTAAAGTTTTTAGATATAAACGGATTACATTTTATCTAAAAATATGCGCGAAAAGCTTACGTTTTTTACGTAATTTTTAAGGTAAACTTTGAATATGTGTTTATGAAATAGTCAATATTTCAACATACCATTATTCTTTTAAAATTTCTATATCTGTTTGGTTTAATAACAAGTAACATTTGAATACATAAATCGTATGCAAAAGATCGTATTTAGGTTGAAAGTGTTATTATCTTTGGTTGGTCAAATATATGATAGAATATTAAACGCACTGTCGATTTAGTACTCTCCTAAGACAGTGGTTCTCAATCTAGTAATCGCATCGTTAAATTTAAATAAACTAAACGTTTTCCTTTCGATTTTTTTTGTAATAGATGGATATGGTTTTACTTTTGTTTCCATTGTGAATTATTATTCGTTATTTTTTAAATTTAATTAACCTATCTTTATAGACTATTTGAATTTGTTTTAATATCAGAATAGACAAATCGGAGAAATATATATACATATTTTTGGTTGTATGAATTTCATTCTTATCTCGTTTTTTTTATTATATTCGTTATATTCTCGCAGTGGCCAAAGTTTGAGCACCACTGACATATTTTACGTAGCGTCTCTGTAGCGTCCAAAATTTAGTTACGATTTGAGTCATATGGTACAGATGCAGTCGGATAGTTTTATGCGAGATGACATCATTACCAACAGACATTTGGCAAAAACTCGCTAATGCAAGTTCTAGTGATGTCATCATTGTTGTTGTTTTCCCACAAAGGTGACCTAATGAATTCGTATATTTTTTATTTTGTTATATTTTAGTAAAATAATTTACGTGATAGTAACTATGTATTTTATTTTATTGTTTAGTCGATATTAGGGATTATAAATAAATCGTGAGTAAACTGATTCAGGAAGTAATCATTTAGTAAAACATGACCTAATATATGTAAGTATTTTTAGGTCACGGGCATCGCCTGGGGAAGGGGTATTACAGAGGGGCAGTTACCCCTGGCCCCCTGGAAAATAAAAAAAGACGTAAAATAGATAAAACAACTTCTAATAAGACCAAATTGTAGCTTACCCCCCTCCGGACCTATAGTTTAAACCACATGGTTTAGATTTTTATCGTAAATATGTCAAACCACAGAGATTATATTAAAATGAATATTACTCAAAAGCTATACCGGAACACTGGAAACAGTGTTGTGTATATTGTAGTAAACACAGTGAGATGTGGCATAGTATCGTCCATTGATATTGTGATGAAGTAGCAGATATAAATACACGCTGAAGTAACGCACACACGTAATCATTACTTCTATACAGTTATAGTACTTCGCGCAGTGTGAGACGGTGCGCGTGCGTGCGCGTGCGCATACCTTGTCTTTCATATTTTCCTATTGTTTATTAAAATTTGGTGATGGTGTTTAACGATTGTTGGAATCCTTCTTGTACATGTTAGTAATATTTTTTTATTTTATTTATTTGGTTGTTTTGTTGTGTTTGGATTGTTTTTAGTTTTTTTTTATTTCAAAGTGAAAATATATGGCAGTTTAGAAGAATATTTTAGTTGATTTTTTATAGTTATTAAATTTATTACGTAACAATGTAATTGAGATGTAAAGTGAAAGTTTATTGCAAATAATTTATATCTTAGTTAATTTTTCACAATTTTACTATATATAATAGGTTGAATATTAAACTAAAATTAAAGTATAATTTCTAGGAAATAACTAAAATTAATGACTTCTGTTGACTCCAGTAATCGTTTATAAGAGATTTTTTTGCTGTTGGTATGATTGTTTTATCTTTATTGTTAAGTTTTAAGACGATGTATCGTCTGTTGATCAATTAGCATTAAATGATTCACCTCTTTAATATTAAGCGTATATGTCATAGTGTATACAAACAAAATTTGGTTTAGCAGGAATAGCTTTTTTTTTTATTTATTTGGATTTTGCTTTTTTTATCAACATAAAATGTGATAGGAGTTATTCTTTAATACTATTTGTCATCCGAGACTCCGTTTACGCTGAATTAAAAAAAAACTTAATTAGTAGCTTATGTGTTATATCAGATAAGGCGAGATACATACAGCCGTTTTGAAAATCAAACAGATATCCATCCATCTAAACATTCGCATTTATAATATTAGTACTTTTACATATTATTAATTACAATACTTTGGCGGTAATGACGTGTCCTCGTAACAAAGTCTAGTGTCAGAATGATTAGTGAGGGGACATAAACGTCGACATTTTAGTAAGGCTAGTGTTGAGTCAATACACTGCCACATTTTTGGATTTTCTTCCTAACAGTACTTAAAATCGCTAAACAATATTAATCTATTTTATAAAACATGTTCTAAGAATTACTCGGCAACATGTAAATATGAAATGTAAACAATGTTTGTAATATTTAGTAATGCAATATAAACAAATAGTTTTGTCAGTTTGCCAAACAGAGTACTTAATTATGTACAATTATCTAAGTTGAATCTTTATTATGTTATTTTAGATTAATTATTAATAGGTAATCATTAACACGTATATTTAACTAATTGATCGTTAGTTCGGCTCCTGTTAAAAAAATAGAAATTAAAATATATATATATATATATATAAAATTAGTATTAAAAATGTATTATGTTACTAAGTTTGAGATGTGTCTCGCGTGCGTCAGATGATCTTAGTAAAAATATGTTATTTTGTTTACGATTACATTTTTTATATGTAAAGTATATAATAGAATATTGACCCATATATCTTTCTATATTCACAACATAGTAGTATGACTTAAACTCACCCACTCGCTAAACCACAAACCGCATACAAACACGCTACTACGATTGACTCATATAAGATTCATACATTTCTTAAATTAAGTATACTAATATAGTTTTCTGTTACCCTGGTACTCATCGTTATCAATTTCTATTAGGATGTTTCGAGGTCATTATGTATGTATTTATCATATGACTAGCATTTGCCCGTGACTTTATACGCAGGGAAATTTAAAAAATTAAGTAATAAGTATAGTATATGTCATTCGGTGATGGTGTAGCTTTTTCAAATCGGTTCAGTAGTTTCTAAGTCTATTCAATGCAAACAAACGAACAATCTAATCTTTCCTCTTCATAATGTTTTACGAGTTCAAATTGTTATTTCTGTTGTTTTTTTTTAAAGGGATCACGTAAATATATTATTAGAATAGCTGTCGCCCGCGACTCCATTCGCGTTGAATGAAAATTATTTCACTTTTTCTCACCTTTTAAACCTTCCCTAGACCTCCACGAACATTTCAAGACCGAGATAAAATAAATCCGTTCAGCCGTTCTCGAGTTTCAGCGAGACTAACGAACAGAAATTGATTTTTATATATAGATTGTTCCAGCAGTGTCAGCTCGTGTATTAAGCTTAATATTGACATGTATTGTGACAGCCCTGGCGGCGGGTGACAAGGATGAGTCGATGCCGCCTGACGCCGCGAAGCGACACACCATGCCGCCGCAGCCCGCACCTCGACCCACTATCAAAGACAAGGTATGTCAGATCATTCACATAATGTACTATGTACTACATACATATATGCTTATTATTTGTCGCGATAACCGTACAGTTACACTGCGGTGACAAGTACCGCAGTGTAATACTACGGTGACACAGACCTGGTTTGACAGTCGCATTAAGTATTGCTTGTTGTTTAATAACTTGTTGAAAAATAAATTAACTAACACTTTATAATTACTAAGTAACTTATTTAGGACTGTTTGAAACAGGCTCTTAGTGAAGATTTGTCTGGATAGTCAGACAAATCTTGATTACTGAGACTAAAATGTCTGCGAAACATATCGTCATTCCTGTCATTATCTTTGACGGGTTACGGGTATTTTGGTCTTAGAAATCCACGGTAAATCCACATTTTACGATTCTTGATGCGGCAATAATAAGACACAGTTATTTGACGCTACTTATTTTTTTTTTAATTTAATTAACTTAAAAATTCTAACCAATAATATTGTTAAAATTAAATTTAGTAAATTTCAACGATTAAAAAAACATAATAACATAGTCTAAGAGTCATGTAAATTGCATTTTACTACAATTTTAATAACTTTGTCTTGATTTATGTCAAAGCTGGTCTGTTTTGAATAGTTTAGTTATTTACTATTTGAAAATGTTTAGTTTGTAAACTCCTACGTAATATTAGTAATGTATAAATTCAGTAAATGTCTTTGTGTTTGAATATTCACTGATTTCTTGTTTATCATGATGTATTCAATGTCAGTAGCGATGTGAAACTAACCGTGGATTTACACTGACGAAACATGTTGTGATAGTTTGAAAAACACATGTTTTAATACAAATGTTTCAACAGTGTAATTTTACGATCAATGTAAACTTATAAATCTCATTTGTATGACTTTTTCATTTTGTCATGAGATTTTTGTTTTATTATTATATCTTATATATAAAATTCTCGTGTCACAATTTTCGTTCCCATACTCCTCCGAAACGGTTTGACCGATTGTCATGAAATTTTGTAAGCATATTGAGTAGCTCTGAGAATCGGCAAACATATATTTTTCATCACCCTAAATGTTAAGGGTAGTCCACCCCTAAATTTTATTTAATTTTATTTGACAAAAACGTGGACGGAGTCGCGGGCGACAGCTAGTATATATATAAATATAAAGGTCGGCCGCGACTTTATAAAAAAAAGTAAAAAAAATGGTCAAAAAAAGTATCCTGTAGCATGTATAATATGCTTTCATCAGCTACCTTTCTATCAAAGTCTGAGTATGAACGCGCTTTGTGGACAGACAGACAGACAGACAGACAGACAAAAAAAAGGTTTTTATTATCAGCAATGAAAATATATCATGTGTTCGAAATATGATTTTTACAATTGAACATACAGACACTCCAATTTTATTAATATGTGTAGATGATTTATTCAACTCGTCTCTGTGAGAAATTGTTTGTTTTTAAGTAATTGTGTTGAAAATTGTCATGACAAAATGAAAAGGGTAACATAATTAAAATCATTAAAAACATGTTTGAAATGCACGGGATGATGTCATTGTTCATTATAATGCTTGTTTATGTCGAGTGGATCGCAACCAAATGGTCCTTGGCCAAATGAAAACAATATATTACTCTATTGTTAGATTATCCACAATTCTCTATGATTTTAATAAACACGGAAATTGGACAATACCCCATTGCGAGACTAAATATTTACAATTATAATGTTTTTTGATCGATTCTAAATATTCTCTTTTGATTTTAATTGAAGTTCAAATATTATTTAGGCTGATCATAAAATTTCTATAAAGTTGTAAACGACAAGCTCTTGGTCTATTATCGAGTCAAGAAAACGCAATGGGGTCGGTGTACTCGGACTTGTACCAGAGATTCTCAAACTTTTTTTTTTTTTAACTCGTAGAGCCTTTTTATTATTTCACTACTTCAATTAGTGAAACCACTACCTTATATCCTGACATCTTACTGCTGCTGTGTTTTCCATGGACGGGAAAGCAGTTTGGGAATCACTGGTGTATGGGTACTATACGGGGTGTTAGTATTAGTGTTGTGATCCACTGGTCTCTAACCGTTGTGGTACCGCATGCGGCCGGAGCAGCTGCGGCGGCGCTCCGGGGGCACGGCCAGCGCCTCCTCCGCCAGCTCGCTGGAGGGGGAGTACCTCGCAGACCGCATGGAAAAGGTGCACCATCTTAAAGACTTGACGCAATGGCTGTACTGGATTTTTGTGTGTCAGCTGGCCTATGCGTTGTAGAGTAGATGTTAAAGTTGTGAGAAATGTCATAGAGTAGACTGAATGATGGCAGTAGAGTCATGGCATACTGGGAATTGTAGGTTATTTTGAGCACAGTTAGTTGTTGCTAGCTACTCTGTGCATATGTTTCAGTTTGACGACACGAGTTGAGAAAATATATTATATTAAATAGCATTGATATTGTTCGCTAATATTTTTAGGATTTTTATCTTTTACTGACTTCGATATTTCCAGAAAAATAAAAAATAATAGTTCAGTATGGGCAAACTGATTTAAATTCCGATATAAAAATCAAAGAACTTACGTAATAGATGGCACTAGTAATTATATTATGCATTATAATATTTATATTATTATAAATCATATTAAAATTGGTATTGTAGAGTTCTGTAGAGCTTTGAAATATATACTTTTGGCTGAGGCATGGGAAGTTCATAGTAATAACGCACATACGATCGCATAGTTTGTTTGGTTTGAATGCACTTTTGTAGTTTGTATCTTCACAAATTTTTTTGATAAATAATAGTGTAATTTATTGAATAATATTTGCGTTAAAGAATTTATAAAATGGTCAAATTATAAGTTAATTATTTACACTATACCAATTTCAGCATTTTCCTCTTTTGTTTATAGTTCTTAATTCTTTATATCAGACCTATCTGTTATAAAGAATTAAGAGGTACCTTAGGAAATATTCTAATCGTAACCTTGGAACATTCCAGAAACCACCTCCAGGGGCTGTGAAAGTGATGCCCACAGCGCCACCAGACAAGAAGGAAGATAAGAAGATAGTCGAGAGGAAGCCTGCTGAAAACGGTCAGTTTATAAACGATAGTTATAGCGTACAATAACAAACTACCTGTACCAACTACAAAATTTTAGACATAAGTTAGAATCCTTTGGCGCGAAAACCAAGTCCAGTGTCAGGATAATTAGTGAGGGGACAAACGTTGATATTTTAATAAAGCTAATGTTGTGCAGATACACCGGCACTGTGTCGGTTTTTTTTCTAACAAAAAATAAGAATTAACACTTGCTACAAGCTCTTTAGGAAAATAACAGTCTTACTGACTACCTCGTTTTGGTATTTGCTTGATAATTTTTAAGTATTTGTTTTTTTTTGTTCAGGAACTGATACAACCAGCGATCCTGGTATCACAAACAACGTTGAAACTCCCAAGAGATCTAAGGTAAGTGACACAAATGATCTTTTTCACGTTTCAATGTAATGTTCAAAGTTTTGTCTGAAGCAACAAGCGGAATGGTAGATGAAAGTTTGTTGTCCACTCAATATTTTTGTGATGTCTCAATAAGTAGATATATTTGTATGATACAATGTCTTTGTACATATAAATGTTAGATACGCAATTAGATGAAAGCATGCACTGATAGTACTGCATTTTACTATGCACACTTTATCTCAATCAGTTTTTAAATTATATGTATGCAAAGTTCAATTTTTATATTTTATTCCTAATTTAAACGATTATTTTATCACTATTTGTTTTTTCCCCTTTCCCATCCTTTCTCTACCACCAGGCGGGTGGCTTTGGACTTTTCGGTAGCAGAAAAGACAAATCTCCAAAGGATGAGAAACCACCGAAAGATAAATCACCAAAATCTAAGGACAAATCACCGAAAGAAAAAGATAAGAAATTGAAAGATCCTAAAGCGAAGGTCGCCGTACTCGATACATCTGCCGATAGCTCAAATCCGGATAGCTCAGTTGAAAAGAGCCCGACAAAAGACAGCAAGCCGAGCTTCACAAAGCCTTACGAATATACTGACACAGAGAAGAGTCCAACTCGCACTAAACCCTTCATACAGGGTGCATTCAGTTACGAAAAGGAACCCATTTCTGACGAAAAGCAGAGAAGTCTCGATGAAAGTCAGAGTCCAACTACTAGAAAGGCCGGACTCGCTTTTAACTATGCGCCCGGTGAAGAAACAAATCTGGTGGAGAGTGCACAGAAACGAAAGACCCCAGAAGATCTCAACAAATTGAAAACACCTGGCATTGATTATGTACAGTCGGCTGCTCTGAAAGAACAAGCTAAGGGACCTAAACATCTCATTGATCCTACATTAGCATTACTGGATTCCGAGAGAGCTCATCATGAATCACCAGTTGCTGCAGCAATACCGATCACCAAGAAAGAGAATGAAATCCAAGTCGTCATTATTACAGCCCGATACAATCCCAAGACTAAGAAATTAGATGACGCTAATGGTACGGTTCTGATAAATAAGGGTACGTTAAATAAAGCTAACGGAAAGATACAGACAGACACAGAACTTATTAACACAAAGTCCGGTCAAGTTAACTACACTGACTTTAAGACTGGCAAACAAGAAGTCAAAAATGGTCATGTGGATTCTAAATCGGGTCATATTTTGTTTACCTCTGGTGTAATCGACCCTAAAACAGGAAAGATAGACCCTACTTTGGCTCAGCAATATTGCTTTGTTGAGAAGTCCAACGATAATGTAGGTGCTAAACCTGGAAGAGAAGTCGATTTAGTTGTTATAACGAGTAAATATGACGGCAAACATAAAAAGCTTGATCCCTCTCATGCGCATGTAGATGTGTCCAAAGCTGTAGTAGCACCCGATGGTACAGTTCATTCTAACTATGGACTGATCGATCCCAGAACCGGTAAAATAGATTATGTTGACCCGAAAACAGGTAAACAAGATCCGAAACAGGCGTACGTAGACCAGAAGACAGGCAATCTACTTGTTACAACTGGTGTCCATGATCCAAAGTCTGGAAAAGTAGACTCATCCCTTGGACAACAGTTTAGTATTGTTGAGAAAGACGCGACAAAGGCGAACAGAGAAGTAAGATTAGTTGTCATAACAAGCAAATATGATGTTAAAAGTAAGAAGTTAGACCCGACATTCGCTCACGTTGACTCTATAAAAGGTGTGCTGAGCGGATCTGACGGTAAAATTTATTCAGAATACGGTATTATTGATCCGAGATCGGGTGAAATCCAAGTTACCGATACTAAGACTGGTAAGCAGGAAATCAAACAAGCCTCAGTGGATCCTAAAACTGGTAACATTCTTCTTCTCTCTGGAGTTATCGACCCTCGCACCGGTCAATTAGATACTACTTTAGGACAGCAATACAGCATTGTCGATAAGCCAATTTCCACATTTGCAACTGTTCCTGGTAAAGATGTTCAAGTTGTGGCAATAACCAGCAAATACGACACGAAAAACAAGAAATTAGACACGCCCAACGGATTCGTTGAAATATCTCAAGGTATTATCAGCGACAAAGATAGCAAAGTACATTCCAATTTCGGTATTTTGGATCCTAACACAGGAAAGATTCATTATACGGATCCCAAGACTGGAAAGCGCGACTCAAAACAAGCTGTTATAGATCCAAAAACGGGAAGTTTTGTCGTGACTTCCGGTGTTATTGATCCAAAGACGGGCAAAGTTGATTCGTCACTTGCTCAACAGTTAAGTATCGTCGATAAGGACGCGAGGAAAGGAGTACCGGAGAGACGAGTGAATTTAGTCGTTGTCACCGCCAAGTACGACCCTAAGCAGAAGAAGTTAGACCTTGCTACATCCCATGTCGATACATATCCCGGTACTGTGGATAATGATGACAAAGTTCACACAGAATTTGGAGTAATTGAACCTAGCACAGGACAAATTACTATTACTGATCCTGTTACGGGTAAACCTGAAATAAAGAAAGCGGCCGTCGATTCAAAGACAGGTAACTTATTGTTATCGTCAGGAGTCGTTGATCCGAAAACTGGAAAAGTCGATAATACTCTAGGACAGCAGTTTAGCATCGTTAATACACCCAAGGACACGTTCGCTGTTGTACCAGGTAAGGAAGCGCAATTAGTAGTCATAACAAGTAAATATGACGCTAAACACAAAAGATTGGACAACCCTAACGGGCATGTTGATACTTCAAGGGCTATTATTGCTTCAGACGGCAAAGTTCATTCTAATTTCGGAATTTTAGACCCAAAAACAGGCAAAGTTGAACATTTCGATACTGTATCAGGGAGACAGGAGATTAAACAAACCGCTGCTGATCCAAAAACTGGTTATTTCATTCTCGCGAGTGGCGTCGCAGACCCTAAGACTGGCAAAGCAGATTCTTCTCTTGCTCAACAATGGTCAATAGTAGATAAAGATGCTCTAAGAGAGAAACATGTGAACTTGGTCATAGTCACGTCTAAATATGACCCTAAAAATAAGAAATTGGATCTTACTGATGCGCATGTCGATTCAGTTCCTGGAGTAATAAAAGACGATGGAAAAGTTTACTCAGAATTTGGTACGATAGAACCCAGCACAGGACAAATTACGATTGTTGATCCGACAACTCGTAAACAGGAAATAAAAACAGCATCAGTTGATGATAAGACAGGAAATCTTCTGTTGACTTCAGGTGTTATCGACCCTCACACAGGAAAAGTTAACGCAGGCTTAGCACAACAATTGTCTATTGTCAACAAAGATGACCAAAAGATTCCCGCAGTGCCCGGTCGTGAAGTGCAACTTGTAATTATTACAAACAAATATGAGCCTAAGACTAAAAGATTGGAACATCCTAACGGTCAAATACAAACTTTACCTGCTATTATCACAAATGATGGTAAAGTACATGCAAACAACATTACGTTGGATCCCAAAACGGGTAAAATTGAACAAATAGACCCTAAGACTGGGAAACCTGAAGTATCACAGGCTGTTGTTGATAATAAAACGGGTCATCTCATCCTTTCTTCTGGAGTCGTAGACCCCAAGACCGGAAAATCTGATTCAACACTTGGACAACAATGGTGTGTAGTGGACAAGGACATGTCAAAACGTGCTCCTGGCAGATATGTCAATTTAGTTATCATTACATCCAAATATGATCTTAAGAACAAAAAGCTTGATCTTTCTAACCCACACGTTGACACAATTTCGGGTACAGTCGGTGCCGACGATAAAGTTTACACGGACATTGGTGTAATCGATCCTGCCACTGGACAAGTTACACTCATAGATCCTATTACTAAGAAACAAGACATTAAAAAGGCAACTGTTGATCCAAAAACAGGAAATTTATTGCTTACATCAGGCGTCGTAGACCCGCATACAGGACACGTAGATCCAAATCTTGGTCAACAATTAAGTGTTGTTGAAAAACCAAAAGATACATTTGCACCTGTTCCAGGCAGAGAAGTACAATTAGTTGTGATTACTAGCAAATATGATTCGAAAAACAAAAGGTTAGATAACTCTAACGGTCATGTTGAATCTCTACGGGGAATAATAGCCGCAGATGGCCTCATTCATTCTAACCAAGGAGTTCTTGATCCCAACACTGGTAGAATCGAACATGTTGACCCGAAATCGGGTAAGAGTGAACTAAAACAAGCAGTTGTCGATCCTAAAACTGGTCATTTGATTCTAACCTCTGGAGTAACAGATCCAAAGACAGGAAAAGCAGATTCATCACTTGCGCAACAATTAAGTGTTGTTGACAAGGATGTCAAGCCTTTACAACGTGAAATACATCTGGTAATAATTACCACTAGATATGACCCAAGAACTAAGAAAATCGATCCGAATCAAGGATACGTCGACACTGTTAGCGCGACAATTGCACCTGACGGTAAGATTGCTTCAGAACTTGGCACAATTGACACCGCTACAGGTGAAATAACATTAGTTGACCCCGTAACAGGCAAAAGAGAAGTTAAGAAAGCTACCGTTGATCCATCAACTGGATACATGTTAGTAACGAGTCAAGTAGTCGATCCGAGGACTGGAAAAGTTGATCCGACATTAGTGCAACAGTATAGCGTGGTTAGTAAGAAGGTCGTGCCACATACTAAACCTGTTTCTAAAGGAGAAATAAGACTTGTCATAATTACTGGAAAATATGACCCACGAACAAAATCTGTGGACGCAGGTGCTGGAACAGTGGAAGCTTCTAAAGGTTATGTTAGTGCTGAAGATGGAAAAATACATACTGATTTCGGCATCATTGATCCGCGATCAGGTCAAATATTCTACAAAGACCCCATCACGGGTAAGCAGGAATTGAAACAGGCAGAAATCGATCCACAGACAGGAAACTTTGTCGTGACAACCTCAGTGGTAGATCCCGCCACTGGTAAACTAGAACCCTCATATGCCCAACAACTTGCAATTGTTGATAAGCAGCATATCTTGGCTAAAGCGGCATCCCCGACACAAAGAGTTAGCGTCTCGCCGACTAAACAAGTTGTGACACCCATAAAGATACCTACGCAGACGCCTATACAAACACCGTTAAAATCACCAGTCAAGACAACTTCACCTGTTATTAGTAGTCAAACACAAAAAGCTTCGCCAGTAACATCAGTTACACCAGTTCATAAAACAGCGCCAGTTAAACCTACAGGTGCACCGCCTGCTCCGCCTAAGAGAAAGATTGTAAAGATTATGGTTATATTTGCTAGAGTAGATCCTAAGACCAAGAAACCGGACTTGGGTACTGCAGAAGTCGAGCATATTACTGGCATCTTAGATCCCAATGGCCAGATCGAAACTAAGTACGGAGTACTCGATTCAAATACTGGTAACTTAGTTGTAAGCGATCCTAGCGGCCAACGGAAGACAAAAGACGGGGTTGTGTTCCCCGAAACTGGACAAATTTTCATCCCATCTGGCGCTGTGGATCCAAAGACTGGTAAAGCTGATCCAACCTTAGGAATGATCTTGAGCGTCGCCAAGCAAGATGATCCTCTTGTAGAAATTACTACAATAACAGGCCCGATAGATCCGAGGACTGGTAAAGTTGATATTGAAAACGGATCAGTGGAGCATACTAAAGGAAAGGTGGACGCAGAAACTGGACACATTTCGACCAAATACGGTGTCATAGATCCCTCAAATGGTGTCATCTTTGTAACCGACACGTCAGGCGCTCAGGATACTAAACCGGTAGATATTGACGAAAATAACGGTCAAATTACGATCACCGGTGTCGCCGATCCTAAAACTGGAAGACTCGATCCTAAACTTGGTCAAGTATTAGTCGTTGGTACACACATAGATCCCGTGGTCGAGGTAACCACATTCGTTGGTAAAGTCGATTCAAAGAAAGGAATAATAGAACCAAAACATTCCGTTATTGAAAGCACGACAGGTCAGTTGAATCCGGACAATAATAAGATCGACACAAAGTACGGTCAAATCGACCTACTGAAAGGTACCGTAACGTACAATGATCCTAAGACTGGTAAATTCGAAAGCAAAGAATTGAACGTAGACCCCGTCACCGGACAATTCCTTCTGAGAAGCGGACAGATCAATCCCAAATCTGGCAAACCCGACAAAGATATCGGTCGTTTGATTTGTTTGCGAATAATCCGTAATAAAGTCGACCCGGTTTCCGGAAAGCAAATCGTATCCAATGATCCTAGGAACGTCAAAGTCGATCCAAAAACTAACCAGATTTGGATTGCCGGACCAAAAGATCCACAAACTGGCGAAGTGCTATACACGGCCGGACAAATCGATCCCGTCACCGGTTACATCATCACCATCTACGGCCGTCTCGACCCCAAGACAGGAACCATCATCAAAACCACCGAAATCGACAAAACTCTTATCAAGGTCGATCCGGTTAACGGACAAATTTATACGGCCACCGGGGAATTGGATGAAGAAAATCAACCTCTGTACTCTGCCTCACAAGTCGACCCCGGTACCGGAGAAATCTACACCAAGTTGGGTAAGATCGATCCCAGAACCGGTAGGCTGATCATTGTCAAAATTTACGTTATCACACAGAAAGATGAGAAGGGACGCGTTAAAGAAGTTGATCCGCGAGAGTGCACAATAGATGAAACCACCGGTAGAATAATAACAACCAAGACCGTCTATCTTTACCAAATTATCGACCCGATAACTGGAGAAACGATCGACGTGGACCCTGACGATCCGAGACTCAAAGGTGCTCGTACCACCGTCACGCAAACGATGACTTTATCAGGCAAAATCGACCCGATAACTGGAAGAATAAAAACCGAGTACGGCGACATCGACCCCGACACGGGTGACATCGACCCCAGCACGGCGGTGCGAGACCCCGTCACCGGGCAACTCATCCTACACTACTCCCAGATTGACCCCTCACACTTTGAAGACAAGAGCGGCAACTACACCATCGAGAAGGAGACGCAGGACCTGCCCGCAAACATCGATATACAGACTGTGAACACGCACAAGTTCAGCACGTTCGGCAAGGACGAGAGCCCCGCGCGCGGCGACGAGCCCAAGACCTTCACCGAGTATTCCACCAGCGAGCACATCCGGCACCAAGGCTTCGTGTCATCCAGCACCCCCCTCTCCTCAAAGATCCCGGTTTCGCAGCGGTCGAAGAAAACTCCCACACCCCCCGTGGTGGTTAAGACGACCACCAAGCAGCTTCTGACCAAAAACGAGGAAGGCGTCACCCACAACGTCGAGCAGGAGGTGGAGAACCTCGGCACGGGCGAGGTCACCTTCTCCACGCACACCAACAAGGTTCGTTCCCCTCAGTACACGCCGGTAACACACTACTTAATACTACTACCTTTTTTAAATGTTGTTTTATTTTTTTTACGTTCATTCATCGAGTGGCCTAATTTATTTTTATTTCATTGTCAAAGCTAACGTAGTTTTGTTGTCGTTTGCTAGTTACACGTGTATATAGTAAATGCATGCTAGTTTAACCCCTAAATCTAGGCGGAAAGCCTAGAGCCCGAGGGAAAGAGCCCTTACGTGACCGCGCGGGCGGTAACCACGCGCACGGCGACCACGCACCACGACCTCGATACGAAAGCCAAGACGCAGCAGATGGAGGAGAAGACGGTCGCGCACACGCTCACCTCCTCCGCCACCCGGCACGAGCAGCGCGTGCTCACGCAGCAGGTCAAGACCATGGTGACCACCGGCGACCAGGTAACACGGCACCCAGCATCCGACACGCCTCTCCATACCTCTACTGCGCCTGCATCGCGCCCGGTCTCATCTAAGCATGGCCGTCGCACTGATAGTGCTTACGCGGCATGAGACAAGCACTGGCCCATTCATTATCACTGGGATTATAATTTGATCGTTATGTTAATAATTTTCCAACTACTTAAATCCTACTTTACCTTCTCTCTATAACTTGTTCGCATAAATCATGTAACCCGTTTGACTGTGTGCATAACATATGTGTGCCCGCTCGTAGCTGGGTAGACGCGGGTCGGCCAGTTCCCTGAGCAGCGGGGACTCGGGCACTCCCATCGACTTCGAGGAGGGTGGGGAGGGCACCTACTATGTCACCGTGAGTATACACAATAGGAATTATCTCTGTTGCTTGCGAGGAGCCGGTTACATATTCTTCAAAGGAAAGACGGATCAAACAATAATAATTTTATAATTTGTGTTATAATTAATTCCTAATAGCAAGTACACAGAGATAAATCTTAACCCTTTTTTCATATTAATTAAAAATGGTGTCTCATTTTTGTTGTAACTATAAATAAGTGAAACAACAGGTCGTATGATATAATTCTATATCATACACAACATATATGAAAAAGTGAGTGAAAAACTATATTATGTTTTAGTGATGTGTTAGTGGCATGACATAGAATGGAATGTTACATTTCAGTATTAGTCGTAAATATTAGTCATTTTCGTCATTTACATTATTATAAGACGAACATTTTAATGGTTGAACAAATTTTTAGTGAAAAAGATTTTTGTTTTCGACTAATACTGAAGTTTAATTTGTCTTTGGTGTCATTATTAAGTGTTGTCCAAATCGATGACACTCTTATGTTTTGTTATGCATCTCACTTGCATGGAATGTTAGAAAGCAGTGAATGTGTTTGTATGATTCGAATTTATTCATTTATATATCAACTTTTTTTATTTTATTATAAGTAAGTATATTAAATATTTATTTATTTAATTTAAATAAACGTATAATATTCAGTGTATTCGTGTGCAAGGTTAAGCTAGAAATGGAACTTAAGATATAGTTTTTATAAACTCTGCCAACCCTATTATGTAAATGAAAATATAATCTTTCCATTATTTAGTAAAAAATAGCTAAGTGAATTCTGTAAAAATATATCTGTCGTAAAATGTAAATGGTAAATGTAATTATGTTGTGAAAAAAGCAATTGACGTATAATGTGTTATGTTGTCAGGAGCCGGGGTCATACACAACGACAACTTCCAGCACGGTGATGGGCAACGCACCATTCGGCAGCATGGTGCACGCAGCCACCGCCACCGCCACCGCCACCGCCAGGGTAACTCACACAAACTCACATACATCTTCATACATACATTTGATTTGGAGGTTATGAAATTCTCTATAAAAAAAATCCACCATCGTTCACAAGTGTCAAATAGAAAAGTGAAGGAGCCAAGCAATGGTCACTTTTAATATTTGTTAAGTTGTGTATTTTGCATAAGATTATGAAGTATAAGTAAATATTGTTTAACGTTAAATGATTCTGTATGTAAGGCGCGATAACACACATTTTAATAGCTCGTTCTAAAATGATATCAACGCCATCCAGCGAAGCAAAATGTCAATATAAAAGTGTACTTGCAGACGAGCACCGGCCCGCAGATAAGTGAGAGCGAGGCGGAGGAGGTGGGGCAGGCCGAGGGTGAGGTCGTCTCCTCGCAGACCATCAGCTCCAAGACGCGCACCGTCGAGACAATCACCGTGAGTCATCTCTTACACAAACCACCTGGAAAATACATCCTTCTACTAAATTGACAAGGTGTTGTCAAAAATATACGATAATCATTAGTTCTCATGGGATTATGTATGGGGCGGTACTGATTTTAACTCTCATGACAAAGATCTGAGTTGCTAGACTTTTTGAAAAACTTCAATAGACCTAAGACATTCAAAACTATGGACTTTAACATTTCTAGTACAAAACGGAGCGCAACGGCGTCGTGGAGACCCGCGTGGAGCAGAAGATCACCATACAGTCGGACGGTGACCCCATCGACCACGACCGCGCTCTCGCCGAGGCCATACAGGTACATACATGTCTTCATACATACAGACACATACAAACATACAGACACATACAGACACATACAACAATAACCTAAGTTGTGCTTTAAATCTCAATCAATTCAAATAAAAATTAACTAATTATATTTGTGTTATGCATTGTCAGGAGGCCACAGCGATGAACCCCGACATGACAGTGGAGAAAATAGAGATCCAGCAACAGAGCACGCAGCCATAACTCTTCCCGCGCCGCGCCGCGCACACCCGCCATCTTCATTCGTGATGTCAAAATGGCGTTGGATACACGTTCACAATATATTAAAATACTTTTAAAAATGTTATAATCGACCAATAACTCGTACCTTATATATTTAGTTATATACTCTCTGTATAAATTATTAGATTCGCGCCATTTTTTTGACATTATAAAACAAGATGGCGGCCTGTCACACAATTAGCCGTAAGCGACACTGCGAATATTAAGTTATTAAAAACGTTATATAATTAATTAATTATCAAGTTAATTGATTTATATTGATGTTGTGGACGTCGGGAGTGACGGCATTCTTTTTATTTAGGTTAAGATCCGCTTCGAAAGGAAATGTTGCCATAGCGAAGAAAAACGTGTTCGTGTCCGTTATTTAAAATGGAATAAGCTTTAAAACATCTCGCACGAGGGAGACCACCGATTAAAAACAATATTTTTTTCTCTCTTATCAATTCAAAAATACATTGAAACTAAACTCGTTCGACGTTGACATTGAAAGTCGCGAGTTTTGTTTGTTAAGAAAATATATTTATGAATAAAAAAAAAAGTTGGTATTAATGTATTTCTTAATATATTACACCATTAGGTGCTATAATGTAAGCGAAATGTCTTGTGTTCGGGCAAATGTGGCTTCTGCTGATGGGTCGTTGACTCGGTACATGATGAATGTTCGCTTGTTCGGTGTATAGGGTAAACTGAAGTTTTACTGCACAATTTCTATATAACTGTTGCGGGATTTTCATTTTTATTAATTTATTGCATAAAACGGGACATTCCAACGAGCGAGCGAGATGCCGCTACATAGTGTTTTCTCTCTCTCTCTATATGTTTTTTTTTTTCAATTTAGATTTATATTGAGCATGTTACGATATTCTGATTTGTGGGCTTTTTTTTCATTACAATAAAATTTTTAATAGAAATTCTGTATATGCCAAAATTCACTCAATACGTTTTTAATTTTTTTTCTTTTTTATTTTTTTTTTAATTCCCTTATTTGATGTGCCTTTATATATGTAAAGGGTAGACAGAAGCCCACAAATAGTCTATCTCTATAAGGTCGACATATTTGTTATATCTTAACGCTAGACGTATTTTTAATAAGTTTCATTGTCGAGTTATTTTGTGCGCCGATTTTGAATCGGTATTCGATTTTAATGTTTTTTTTTCTTTATATATATATTTTTTTTAATAATTTTCACATTTTATTAAGATTAATGTATGAGAGATATTGCATGACGATTATCATTTTGTCTGTTTGTATGTAATTTTATTGTGACAATATTTTATTACGTTCGATGTGGAAATAAAGTTTATATAAACACGAAGAAGTAAATAATACCTTAATGATATAAAAATAAAGGCTTATTTTGATTGTATCGTTAAATTCCGTGTTGTCTTTATATATTTATTGAAGATGTTTATTTTTATAATTGTCCCCCATTTTTGTATAATTTCTTATTTGAACGAGATGACGTCATCAAGCAGCGGATATTACAATAAATGATGCTTTGTTTTATTTATTATCCTTTTATTTTACTAACCTTTTAAGTTGTTTTTACAAAAAAAATACTATTTAACTGAAGTATAAATAGTTGAAAGTCAAGTCTTTTAAATCAAAGTAAATACACTAGTTTAAAAAAATGACAGATAGACTGACAGCAAAGTGATCCTATAAGGGTTCCGTCTTTCCTTTCCGAGGTACGGAACCCTAAAAAAAAATTACTTTAACTTAGACCGAAATGTTGTATGTGGATAAGTCCAGAAAAGTGAGCCAAATGAAAGCTCTTAATCTCTACCTACCCTTCTGGACCAGGTGCTGTTTTTTTTATAATTTAAATAAATATGTTCAGAAGATCAGATTTATTTACAGAAAATACACACAACAATTATGTATTCATCCTCCGAATACGGAACCTGTAAATGTTTTCAACAGTTTTGAGGGATTCGGGTCTTCCAGTACACCACCAGCGATGGAATGCAGTAACTTTGAAGGATCCTGGTCTTTGACTGATCCAGCGACCGATTTCAACACGTTGCTTGGAAGCTGATCTTTTACTGAACCAGCGACAGACTCCAATATCTTTGTCGGATCTTGGTCTTTAACAGTATCCGCGACAGATTGAAGTAATTCTTTCGGGTCCTGGTCTATCGAACCCGCTACTGCTTGAAGTAATTTCGATGTATCTTGGTCTTTTAGAACCGCGGCTGCTGAGTGTAGCGTCTCCTGGTCTTCGTCCTTCAGTATTGAGCCCGCGACGGCTTGTATAAGGTTTGGAGGCTCCCTGTAAGTTAGGCCTTCGCCCCCGCGCCCGTAAGGGAACAGGAAGCCCGTCTGCAGGAAGAACTTGCCCTTGGTGCCCGGCTTCGAGTCTATACCCATGTAGCTGGAATACACATGAATTATATAAAAGATCTTTTCATCATCTCTCATATGTTTTTTTACTGACTTTAAAAATCGCTAATCATTCAACATGGTTAATGAATATTTACTACGTTTTTTTGCTGTATAGAACATTCCTCAAAGCTTAAAGCCATTGTGACATAAAGGCAGGAAATGAAAAGGAGCGATCTTACCAAAAAATCTACCTCAAAATTTTTACTGAAATTATCCTGGCGTACTAAGTTGTCTTTTACCGAATCCACACTCTTTAGGACTCCAAAGAGACGATCCTAAACACAGCAGTTAATGACCATATCTGAAATTCGGTAGACCCTGACCTGACTTCATCATCGCACTGGTCCCTCTTGAAGTGTTCCCAGCTGGGACACCTCTTCGCGGCGAATGCTGTGCGCTCCAGCAGAGACTCCGCGAAGTAGAGCCAGGAGCGTGAGTGACTGCAGGTCTGCAGCAGGCAGCCCGGCTGAGAGTTACCGCCGTTCGGGAAGTAGTCAGCGTGACCTGCGCGATATCACTACTGTTTTTAATTCCTCGACCTCCTGAATTTGTTGATATTTTTTAATATTATAAGGTTGAAAACAAGCGAGCGGCATTTGAATTCGCCAAATTAGGGGAACACTGCCCATAGACATTCGAAATTATAGACGCATTGTCTAAAATGTCCGCCGATATAACGAAGTGACTTTTGCCTATAGACAGCTGCAAGCGCGACAGAAGGGACGGAAACAAAGAGGACATTACACCTTTCTAAACAACTCCTTTTCTGCTAAAACCACTTTGCTTTCTCATTCTTTCTTTTAAATAAATATGTGGGATGAAAAAGATTGCTTTAATTTGACCTCGTGACGCACACTAATCACCAGATACTTACCAATAGGTTCCTTCATGCCGTACACTCCACTATCTGAATGTACACAATCTACATAATCAGCGTCACTATCTTTGACCCTGAGGTCCGCATCCACGTGCGTGAAGCAAGGTCCGGCGGGGTCTAGTGCTGAGATGCGGCCGGGCCTGCGCCCTGTCAGCTTGAGTAGAGTCTTGCCAGCAAAGCCACTGATGTGGGAGCCCAGACTGTGACCTATTAAATGAATTGAAGCCGGATCTGTGCCGCCTGCGGACGTCAGAAATAAAACTTGCATATAAACACGTAATGTGAAACCATTTAACAATTATTTTGGATTCTGGTTTGTTTTAAAAAAATAATATTCATATTAATAAGTGGAAAATTTATGATATTATCAAATTCCTTATTTATAGTGGAAATATTTCCGCACGGACAAATACAAATACCGGAATTCCATTGCGACCTCTAACTTCTACGCAAAGACCTTACATGTCTTGTTCTCGTTATCTTATTTATGGTATTTACTTTGCATCGATACTAATTGATTTTTATTTACGAACTTAAGAAAGAAAAACTTTGTCAAATATCAGAACTAATTATGATAGAATTTTACTGCAAACTGGATTCAACGTAAAATGTAGGAATTTTTTACTTTATTATAATTAAGAAACCTAAAAATAGTAATTACCAATGAACTTATTACTCGTATGCTGAGGACAATATTTTTTTTATTTTATTCGAACACAATAATTATGTTTTCTATATAAGGTCAAATGTCATACATCGTATTATATCTGATAAGGTAATGAGAGTAAAAAGTCTGTCAGTTTATAAAACATGTTAACTCTGTTGACGTGAATCCTGAGCGGCGAGCGGCTGACCGCTACTGAAGTGCCATCATCATGACACTCTTGTTGACATTGACATCACTGACACGAGGTCGTGATACTTGACATTACTTATTTATGAATGAACTTTACAATTGCATAATTTATTTTTAAAATTATATTTTTTTAACGGTGGGTTTTTGAGACCAAAATTTTTGTATTAAACATAACGTCATCTCTGTCATTATCTTTGATACGACAGAGATAATGATATGTTTTAAACGGGGATAATGCTCTCAGAAATCCACGATAAGCCAGCTACAATTTTAAAGTCTTCCTATATTAACAAAATATAACATCAAAGGGTGCGCGCTTGATTTTTTTTAATTAACAAAAAACACAACGAATACAGAATGAATTCCAAAAAAACGGACGAATTAATAACCTCCTTCTTTTTGAAGTCGGCTAAAAAAGACATACAGATTAAAAAGGGAATGTGAAGACAATTTCTTATAAAATTTAAAATAAAAGTTTGACCAGGAACCCAACTGATGTCAAGTGTATTCACTCTATATGAAGGTAGAAAGTGTTTGTGTGTGTGTTGTTACCTTTGACCATAGCTGCGAGCACCTCGCCCAGCTTGCGACCCATGAAGCGCACGTATGTAGTAGCGCGCAGATACAACCAGCGGATCAGCGGACTGCCGTCCAGTGCTAACACGCTCGTCTCACCTGACACAACATATAATAATACTGAACTACAGTACCCTATGTGTTCTTACAGACTATGTTCTACATCTATGCCTTTCTTGGAGATCCATGTCGTCGTTCTGGAGATGCCTTCTAACAAACGTTATAATATTAGTAAGAAGTTTGTGGCATTACTGGTTGGAATCATTTAGCGCGAATGGCGCTCATGACGCGCTGCCGTTACCACGTCAAGTGTCAAAATTCTATTAGTGAGGGGACATAGGCGTCGACATCTCAATAAGAGTAGTGTTGTGCCGGTACACCGGATTGTCGGATTTTCTTTCTAACAGAAGTAAGATATGGCTGACGTGGACAAGACAAGAGAGAGTTAAGAGTACTTTAGGAAATCATATATTAATTTCATCTCCCCTTTCTTATTGCTAGAAGAATACTAAGTTATGTTACCATCTCTTTTCGTCTTCATTTATACATACAATGAGTTTATAAACACTTGTTACATGTACATTGTACCTTGTCTAATATGAATAAAATAAATAAAAACCTCAACTCTACATCAGGATGTTTTTAATGTCCATTAAGTAATTACCTCATTATAGAATAACTGAGTTTTATCTTACAATTCCTAGTCCTTACATTAATTATTCTGTTATGGTCTTCATCGTCATATTGTGTCGCAATGTCATTATAGTTAGCATATAACATTGTTTTGAAGAAGGTTGCGCTTTACATTTCTACAAGTATATCAAGAATAAATAATTTTATGTTAAGATATACTTCTTACTAATATTATAAATGCGAATGTTTAGTTGCATGGATGTTTGTTTGAAGATATCTCCAGGACGGTTGAACGGATCTCGATGAAATTTGGCACACATATAGAACATAGTCTAGAAGAACGCATAGGCTACAAATAAAGTTCCGTGCGGACGGAGTCGCGAACGACAGCTAGTAATAATATTGTTGCCTCTATTTTTTTAAAGACAAAGATAGGGATGACTATATGTGTAACTGTGGTCAATATCTACAGTAAATCTATGTCCGTATGTTTAAATTTTAATAAGCTGAAATTATGTGCAATACGGATACTAATAAGATTAAGAATCCAAGTTGACATGGTCGCCATACATGTACCACTTACACTAACCTTTCTAAATGGACTGGCTATAAGACTTAGTATTTTGTGCCTATTTAATTTTTGCTTTTTGGCGCTGATGGTAACGGTTTCTATTGGTATGGATTCAAACTTATTATATACATAGAATTAACTGTCAAGTAACATCGACGCATGTTTAAATGGGAACGAAACAAAAGCTGTCTCAAGCAATTGCCTATCTATTTATAGAGATAAGTGGCCACAAGAAGCGAGTAGCGATTTGTGACGGCCAACAAAGTCTAAACTAAACCTAAAAGTCCGTATAAAATGTACGAAATGATATATTGTAGCTATCGCGTGTGACTCGTGTGCAGCGACCCTTAGGTATAATTTACCTAAACATTTGCAGATTGCATATTCATTTAATTTACCATTAAATCTAAGTGTTAACGGATGTGATGTGGGAAATCCTATGGATGACAATAACTTTATTAACATTCTAAAGACGTTCATATCTGACTCATTTACGTCGCACGTAAAAACTAAATTATAAAAGTCACCAACAGGCATACGGAATTACTTTGAACTTGAATCATTTTGTCACTGACTTAGAAAAAAAACGAATGTACAATCATGTTTTTGGAGGTCAAAATCTTTTAAATTTAATTGCACAAGATAAATAAAAACGACATTTTTTCTATTATTATAACTACTAAACAGTTAGTGGTAGTCTTACTAATATTATAAAAGCAAATGTTTGGATAGATGTATGGATGGATGTTTGTTTGAAGGTATATACAGAACGGATGCTGCATGAATCTCGCTCAAATTTGGCATAGATGTAGAACATAGCCTAGAAGAACACATAGGTTACTAATATTTTTTTAATTACGCGCGGACGAAGTCGCGTGCTACATCTAGTTGTACATAAATAATACCAGGTACAAATAGATATTTTTATATATTTGCGATTCATGGTCATCTGCGTTGCGCAGTCCCCTCCCCTCTCATCCCACTACACCCCGATACTACTAAAATTGTGTTCTGTAAAAACTCACGCGAAGTTAACTTGTTACTATGTACTTACCACTTCTAAGAAATGCTTCACTGATATTCTTAAAGCTATCTTTTGTAGGATCATCAATGAAGCCGTGCACAAAGATGATGAGGTTCTTCTGAGGGTTGAAGGCGCGCGCGCGGGTGATGGCCTCCGCTGCCACACTGATGTTGTACACCTTACTGCTAGCCCTGGACAACATTGCATTGAGAGTAATAATTCTGTTTTTAAAAGATTATTAAAAAGAGTAGATAACTAACCTTGTTTTAAAGAACAAGGAGAGTGAGTTTAGATCTGGTTCCCTGACGCCCTCCAGCTGCTCGTACGCCACTCCCAGTAGTTTCTTTACGTGAGCACCTGCACATGTTGTGTCCAATTGTAGTGTGATACAGATTGGTTAACTTCATCACTTCTTAACACTTTCAATGCTACTAGCCTGGCTTATTTACTCTCACATTTTAAAATGTAGCACCTATAGTGTTAATATATGTAGTATGAAGCAAAAAAACTATACGGATAGACGATTTTTAAAATGCTACGTGCATCGCCAGTAGCGGCTTTAGGTTATGACAAGGTGGGGGGACAGCCCAGAGCGACGGACGAAAAGGGCGTCCCTTTATTTTTAACTTTAGCGCCAGCGGTGCCTCCTACGATTATAAGATATCTTTGAAAGATTTCCCCCGACACCGAGAAAAGATGGTGCCGGATATGTTGAAACCGGCTTTGTGCATCAGTATAGCCAATCTGTTGTAATGGGGTTTTTTAACTCACATCCAGCGGAGCCGACATAAGCTATGGATTCGTCTATGGGTTGCTTGATGGGTCTGATCTGCTGTTGGATTCCTTCGCCGAGGTTGTCCAGCAGGCTACCCTGCTGCTGACCAGATGCCTTCAGCAGCGATAAGTAGCCTACTACCATGCCCACCAAGTAGTTCATGTTGAATAGATTCTATAAGCAAAATGAAGCCTTATACTAAAGCAATCAGTCTTAATTAAGGTTTAGCTTAGTGTAGATTTCTCAATATAAAATATTCAATTAATAGAACACAGAGTCAGGTACCCCTTAGTGACAAAGACTGCTCATGGTAAGTGATTTCATTAGTACTGATTTAGTTTGAGAAAATTTTAAGGCACTTCTAAATAGGTATTAAATGTCTCTGTGTAGAATTAACATCTATCAGGCTTCATAAAACTAATTCTAAAGTTTCAATTATTTCTGTAACTATGTATTTAATAAATTACTAACCACGAAATTATTAAATCCGGTTACAACCTGTAAAACAAAAGTATGGGTTAATTACCACGACTAAAAATTGTTTAAATCGTCTTTTTTTCTCCTTTTTTTTCGGGTTTTCGTTCTTTAGAAAATATCAGTCCTTAATCTACTTAGAAAATAATTAAAACTACAAGTATACAAGCAAGAAAGAATAAAAAAAAAAACATAAACAATTTCTATTAGACCTATAGCACACCATACCCCGGACTCTGTCTTCTACGTCCGAATCTTTGGACTAAAGTAGACAGAAGTCTGTAATCAAACGTGCAAAGTGCGAACAAACAACACACAAAGTGCAATTCAGACAAATAATTTGCGAGATGATAATTATGTTATCATTAAATCAGTGTTAAAAGTAATCAAATGCAAACGCAACTCGTGTTAAAGCGGCACACAACTCACTCCGCTGAATAAACTATTGAAAGTCAAATCGTAAACTTCTTCAGCGAGAACCTCCATGTTGTACTGCAATTAGGAATTAAGAATATTTCAGTTATTACCAGTGCCCCGACTTCACTCGGCACTTCGAATCAGAGCTACTGAATATTCATATAAAATTACTTAAAAATCTGTCAAGCTGTTTCAGAGGAGTATGGTAACTAACATTGTGACACGACAATTTTATCTTATTAAGATTATTTATCTGGTATATAAACACGGCTAAACACTCACGTATATACGTCCGGTGGCGGCACCGACTAGTTTCGAGCCCATCGGGGGCCCTTCATCAGGATGAGTGGAGCTCATTGTGAGCGACGGGCCGCATCCGCGAAATAATACCAGTACCACTCATTCTGATGAAAGGCCCCGATGGGCTCGAAACTAGTCGGTGCCGCCACCGGACGTATATACGTGAGTGTTTAGCCGTGTTTATATATCAGTTTAGTATAATGTCTCACGAAAGTTTGAATAATTTAATTATATATCTGGTTTTTGATAGTGTAATAAATATTAACTACATAACTATTTATTAATTATATTATCTTTGTATATTATCATAACCTTTGCCTGTGACTTCGTCTGGGCGGAATCAAGAAAATCTAGTAATAAATAAAGCCTAGATCATCCGGTAATCGTGTTGATTCGCAACTGTGATATTTTTTTAATCGTTTCAGTATTTTCGAAGCCTATTCAATACAAACAAACAAAAACTCAACTCTTTCTTCTTTATAATCTTACTAATATATTGCATTACTATAAATTATAGAGCGTCGGTGGCTCAGAGGTCGAACACTTGACTTGCGATCTGCAGGTCCTGGGTTCGAATCCCACCATGGTTATGTTATTTATCCGACGTTCTTATGTTGAAGGAAAACATCGTGATGCTGCACATATCTGAGAAGAATTTCAAAGATATGTGTGAATTTAACCAACCCGTACTTGGCCAGCGTGGTTGACTATGACCAAATCACCCCTAACTTAGGGTAGGCTCTGAGCCCCTCGGTGTGGACGTATAGTGAGCTAATGATGATGATGATGACAAATTATTTAAAATTGATAATATCGCTCCTATAAATCAAAAGTGAGGGGAATGTCTTTGTATTAATTGAATATAGGAATAAGGTTTATATTATAGTATATTTTTTTAACGCTGGAAGTGAGTAACAATAAACCTAGTTCTTTTTTAATTAAACACATAAAAAAACTTGAATAAACTTGTACAGGAAATAAATTTCACTTCTTATCGATGTTTTCTCGTTTAGTTTTCGTTTTTTTTTTAAACAGTATTCGGGAAATTAATTAAACTGTAAGGAAATCTAATTGTCACAAGGTGAGTTACATCATTAAGGGCAATGTTTTGGTTGTAATTTTATAATAATTAAAAAAAAGAAAATGTGATAAATTAAAATACACATAAGGTTTATTATTTTTTTTTTCTTTTTTTTTATCATTCAGCAGATTTCTATAAGATATGGTAAAAATCGAATTTCGTTATAAAAAGCGTTATTTAAACTTCATTTTAATGGAAAAATATATTGGTATAGGTATATTACGTAGTTTTAAATCGAAAAAAATTGAAAATAGAACTTACGTTTGCAAGAGTCCTCAAGAAATAGTTTTGAATTTTTAATATATTTTTTACCACACTATTTAATGTTAAACAAACATATTATTTACGATACTTGATCGTATAAAAATTTATAAACAAAGTAACGTGCGTTTGTTTCTCTGACGGATTTTATACTAACTGCAAACGTGCTTTTCTGTTTTCCACTTTAAATGTACCATCGTGTTATTTATCACTTAAAACCAGGGATTCTCAAACTGCCACACGCAGAGACGTTAACTTACCATAAGCAGTTGTTTTAGTGTGCTTACTAAATTTGAAGTGACTCCCGTTAGTTAATATAAAATAATTCTCATTGTGAAAAAGTTAGTTGTATTAGTTTTTTTTAATTTTATAATAACAGCATCATTGTTGTTCCGAAATAAGAGAAATGAGAGATAAATCGGTTCGCTTCTTTATTAATGTCACAAGTAGTTTGTAAGTAACGTGTCTAATTCGTCCCGGAATTAAGAGTATTAACTGTTCGACTAAGATGTGAATGTAATGAGAAAATAAAATATGCTTTTTACCTTTCTCTGTCCATTATTCCACAAAGGTTGCCTGTATCTGCAGATTATTTGGAATATTAATGGTTGTTTTTGAAAAACACAATGCAATTGTCACGTCCAAAGTTTGAGAACCACGGAAATTGGATTGAATAACGTTTTAACTAAAGAAAAAACCTAATAGCTTTGTTACATCATTTAAATAGCTAAGTTAGCTCTTAATAGAATACACGGAATTAATAAGACAAATATAAACATAGAAAGATATGATATTTTACGCGATGTGATTTTTGTCTTTCATTTCCCGCGCATTCTATTTTTGTCATCTATATTTTTTTTAAATAGTTAAGTACTTGATATGCGACATCCTCGGTGGCCAGTACATTGGTAGCATAAAAACTCCTTGATCAGAGACGTCTACGTCAAACTTCGTTATTTTTTTTCTTTTTCTTTAGTAAAAAGTTGCGACTTCGGTAAACACATGGCTGACAGAGGTGTTTATGACTATTTCCAATGTTGAATGTTGTAATGGATTTACAGCGCAAATTAAATATTTTTTTTTATTTTAAACTTATCAACTGCGATTGTTTGGTATTTCCATGTGATATATTTAAGGTGAAGATATCATTGGGGAAAGACAGGCATAATTTATATGTAATAGATAAGAGTATGACCGGACCTATGAGGTTCAATGCAAATTATACAATGACGAGGAATTTCCAATATTGTTGCCTATCTTAAAATAATTTTAAACAATTTTTATATATTTAATCAGATTAAACTAAGTAATTTTATTTTATAATAGTAAAACTTTCGAGTTACTTCTTAGTATTTAACTTATTTTTTTCCTTAAATGATACAAAGCCTTGATTAAGCCTTATAGACATGATGTTTAGTATTTGTAAAATGCTTTACAACTGTCTGTAAAATGATGATATTCCTATACTGTAAATTATTGTTGAACTTTATGATAAAACTACTAATAGAAGATTAAATAATATTTGTTGGCAGAAAAGGATTTTGTTTTTTAATTTCTATTCTTATTATTTTTTCATAACACAAATAAACATTGATTGGATAAATATACGACAATTTGCAATTTTAAAGTTTATTTTACATAATTAAGTATATCGATATAACAAATTAAATTATTATAAAATGATTAGATAACATTAATATAATTATAATATCGCATATAAACCCAGCACGTCACTAAGTTGAAAGTCAAAAGGTTATCAAAGCAATTTTCATCGAGTTTATTGTTTTTTTTTTAATGTTACAATAATGCAAAATATAATATCTACCATTTTTATAAGTATGCATTTTTTTGGTATTAAAATATTAGCAATTTTTTGTAAATTTACTAATATTTCTTTTTACTATTCCAACTAAGCTCTAGGCTTGTGCTAGGAAATGGTTTACAATAGTCGAACGGCGGAATTCGAACCGCCGACCTCGTGATCGGGAATCCGCACCCTTAACCATTAGGCTATTGACGCTTATATTATATATTTTAGTGTGCATTTTTTACGTTATGTATGTACAGTAAAGGATCTTCGCGGTGTTCCACTAACAGATTAGCCTTGTTTCTTGCAACGAGACAAACTCCGCACCCTTTTACAAAATAAACAATGAGATAGCAGTTCACACGGCGACATAATAAAAAACAATTAGTCGTATACTGACTTACCTTTTTTCGTACAGACATGTAAGCTACGTCCTATTGGTTATTGGTATGTTATTGGTATCGTTGTCTAAATGCCTTCGTTCAAATTAGTGTAGCTTTTAATATTGTTTACCGCCAGATTCCCTGATAGTACTTGCATGTAAAATATTTTTACATATTATAGTATACAAGGGTTAAATAAAACAAATTATAAAACAGTTTATTAATTAAAATTTCACTTTTATCGTTGACATTACATTGAACAAAATATGTTCTTCATGCATTATATCTTAAGTTAAATCTAGAAATGGCACTATTTTTTTGTTGTATTGAATATATACTATTTCTTAACCTAATTGTGTACTAGAATATATAATTGTATGTCTGTATGTGTTAAAGGCACATTGTATATATTTATTTTACAACATTTATATATTAAATTATTTATATAAAATATACTTTTAACTTAAACTGAAGTTTTATTATACATAAAAAATAATATGAGATGTAATTTGAAGAATAATATAATACATTGTAAATTAAACCTGATATATGCCTGCATTTTCTTTTAACTTAAAAGTTACTTATCAGTCGTTGATTATTTAAACTTCCTTATTGTAAATCTATTAAATCCACACTAAACTACTCCCTTAGCTATTAACGACTCCGTATGGTACAAGAGGTAGACAGGAAATACTATTTTATATATTTTTCTAGTTTTACACTTTTCCAGTTGTAATCCAGCGGTGATTCGCTGGAATGGAATAATGTAAACGGGACATAAATGTATATGGAATTCATCGTAATAGTATAAAATGGTATGATAAAATGTTTGTGCAGTGGGAACAGTAAAGAAGAAGTGAGCGTCCAGCGTCAGATGTGAGAGTAGGAGAGGTGGTTGTCGTGGAGGTGGGCAGTGAGCTGGCGCAGAGTGCGGCGACATGAGACGCGCCGGGAGCCGAGGCGCGGGAACCCTGACACGCGCTCCACCAGCACTGGACCCTCGCGTCTGTGCAACACCATTACATCATCAGTACAACTCACACCTCACACCTCACACACTTCGCCGGCTGGACCACCTGCTGAGGATTACTGGAACGATGTCATGGAATCTATATGCGCTTTAACCAGTCGATTGGATAGAGACGATGAACCATTCAGCATTCTCTGGTGTTCAACGTCAAAGCCCACATTTTTGACTTATCCAGAAGAGCTACCGCAGCTGAGGGCCGTATACTTAATTGAGACAAGTGTGCCAGGTGGCACGGTACCTGAAGAATATGTGGTGCTCGACGCTGCAGCGCCAGAGGGTTTTGCAGGCGCGTATGGTGGGCAGGCGGAAGCTGAGGCAGGTGTGCCAGTCGTCGCACTCGCCGGCGCGCAGCCGCAGCGTGAACAAGCGCTTCTTGTAGCTGATTTTGATGATCTTCGTCCACGGGAACCGGTTCATCACCACCCTGGACAACAAACGACATCTTTCCTACGGTTCTCTGATCAAAACGGTCCATTCTCTGGTCTATTTCTTGCAATCTTTCCAAAAAAGAATGAGTCTTTTCTGATCAGCTGATAGTATTCTTCCTGCAAAAAGCTAAAAGCATTACTTAAATTGAATTATTACATGTCTCTGAGTACGGCGATGCCGCGCCAGCAGACTGCCAGCGCGATGTCCACGTCGTCAGAGTCCTTGGCTTGATGCAGCTCAGCACCGTACAGCGCCAGCTTCTTCGCATTCTCCAGGTAATTCAGCTCCGCCTCCGCTGGACTTTGACCTCTGTAATAAATGATCTTGGTCTTTAGATGGATTTAGCTAACTTTTTTATATTAAAAGGAGACAAACGAGCGGCCACCTGAAATCGCTGAAATAGCGAAGCGACCGTTGTCCATAGACATACGCAATTGCAAATGGCCATGTCGCCTATCTTTCATCGACGGAGAGGATGCACAGAAAGAGAATATGTTCCCTTCCCATGCATCATCCGCTCATCCTCAGATAAAAAGGTGGGAAGTTAAAGAGGAGTAAAATTGTGTCTCCGGGTCAGTGCGCGGAATCGCTTTTTTTTTTTTTTTTTATATCAAATGGTGGCAAACGAGCGAGCGGCCTGAAATCGCTGAAATAGCGAAGTGACCGTTGCCCATAGACATACGCAATTGCATATCGACGGAGGAGAGGATGCACAGAAAGAAAATATTTTCCCTTACCATGCATCCTCTCATCCGGAAAGTCCACTTCCACTTCCCATGCTTTCCTTATAAGGAAAAGGGTGGGAAGGGAAAGAGGACTAATATTGGCCTCCGGGACGCACACTCATCAGACGAAACGCGGAACTGCTTCCACTTGACGCCTGTCTTCTGTGTGGTCGTGGTATTTCACCGGGCGAGCCGGGCCAACTCGTGCGAACATGTTAAAGCTGGCTCTACCGCTGTTGTAAGAAAATGTCTGATGTGATTGTGATACCCTTTAACCTGGTGAATTAGACAATTTCACTGGAGTGTCTCTAGGGAGTAGTCAGAATTATGACATCATTACTAAAAGACCTAGTCGGGATAAGATGTCAGGAAATTGATGGTTCATAAGTTAGAGAACATTTTTGCAGCACGAGGCCCGAAACCAGAAAATCTGTCAGCTACGAAAAGAATTTGGGAGTGTGTTGTGTTACTTACTTATGTTTCCTGTACAATTCGTCGACCTTGTCCTCCAGATCAGATGTGAGGAGGTGTGGGGGCAGGGCGCGGCGTGCGACCAGCTGCACCCCCGGGACACGCACCTCGTGGTCCCCCAGCTCCGCCTGCAGCATGTACGACGCCAGCAGCGCGTGCGTTATACATGAACATCTTAAACGACCTACAAATACGATTAAATATATATAGCAAAACCTGATCTTAACCAACTTCAATCGTCTTGTTTATTGTATAACTAGCTGTCGCTCTCGACTCCGTTCGCGAGGAATTAAAAAAAAACCTTATTAGTATGTGAGCCTATGTGTTCTTCCAGACTATGTTCTACGTCTATGCAAAATTACAGCTGGATCTGTTCAGCCGTTCTGGAGACACCTTCTTACAAATGTTCATACATCCATCCACCCATCCAAACATTCGCATTTATAATATTAGTAAGATTTTTAGTATTTATGCAGACTCCATGCCAAAGAAAGAAATAAATGTAAATAGTGTGTTATTGTCACGTGAGTTTTATTTGGAAAACGCCAATGTTATTGTAAACTAAGAAAACCCAACATTCTTAATGATTATAAGAATAGGGCTTGAGTTCTTAAAACTTTTCTATTGCTTGATTTTTGGGGGTCACTTAATCACAAGTGATTTGTGCAAATAGATTTATACTAAAGGACAATTAATTATGAAGGTGCCTACCTTCCATGATGTCGTGACGCACGGCCAGGCCGACCTGGTACCTGGTGTTGTCGTCATTCAGCTCTGACGGCTCCGGCGGGTAGAACTTCACCACAAAACGCACCTCCCATGGCTCATCTGAAAATTATAACAGCCATGAAGTAATCTATATGTATAAAAGAAAGTCGTGTTAGTTACAGTATCTATAACTCAAGAACGGCTTTACCGATTTGTCTGAAAATTGGTGAGGAGGTACCTTAGAGCCAGATACTATTTATGCATTTTTTTTTCGAATTTATGCCTTGAAGAGCTGCTTTTTATTTAACTTACTAATATTATAAATGCGTATATTTAGCTGGATGTGATGTGGATGGATGGATGGGTGTTTGAAGATATCTCTAGAACGGCTGAACGGATCTCGATTAAATTTGGCATACGTGTAGAACATAGTCTGAAATAAGACATAGACGAATTATGTTATTTTATATGTCCACGCGGACGGAGTCGCGGGCGACAGCTAGTATAATATATTTTTCATCTTTATAACTATAGTGGACTAACTCCTGAATGTCTTGGCGAGTGTCCTCTCCATGTCGAGCCAGACGCGGTCAGAATGATTCGCGCGCATCAAACCGAAGTAATCCCTCTCCACTATGTCCAGGTCATCACAGATGCGTTCCAGCAGGTCAAAACCTCGCGCCTTACGCTGGAAGTAACAGTTTGAAAGATTATGAGCAATCAGTAGATTTAAGGGTCATATTTTTAAAGAGCGAGGTGACATTCGATTCGTATTCTCCTCATAGATGTTAGAATATTGTATGTTGAGCACTTACCTCAACATCAACACTAATGTACTCCCCGTCCAACAGCTGCACGCGCACCCGTTTGGTGCCAGTGCCCGCCCGCGCCATACCCTCCTCTGAGGTGCTGCCAGACCCCGCCAGCCGGCGCAGGCTCTCACGCATTATATTACCTGCATGTTAATACATCCTTAACTATCTTTGTGTGTGTTTGTGTGCTTTTTTGTAAGTACTAAATGTAATTATGTTCGTTTGGATTTTTGTTTAAACTTACTTAAGTTAATGTAACTATTTATTTAAATACTGGCAACAAAACTAAGAGATTTATTGTAATTTTTGCTGACCAAGGTTTTCTTTTCAAATACAAATTATGTCGCTTTTCTTTACAATAAAAATGACCTTGTGTTAGTAACGATTTCTAAATTACTCTCCATAGCTTAAACACCCTTTTTTGTTTTCTTACAGAATTAAATTAGTGTTTCATTATTCCATTATTCATTATTACGATGTAAAGTGGCAACCTACATCAAAGATCTCATCAAAAGTTTACAAGATCCCTTTAATAATCAACTTTGCGTCAACTGGCAAAAAGCCCACACCTTACTATGTATTCTCTCACGAAACTCGAATGTAACTCGTGAAAAATAGATTAATCATTTTCCTTGAAAAAACACCACGGTTTTTTATTATTTTCCTTTCTGATTGATAGAATGCATTTTTCGTTTTTCTTTTAATAATAAAAAACTATTCGCTTTTACACTTACTAATCTTACTTTTCACTTATAAAAAAACAATAAACAACGTCACGTAATCTAAAGAAATAGACTAAAACTGAATTTTTATTGTTATACTTCTGAAAGCTACTATTGGTTCCATTTCAACTTCATTCGACTTTCTAGTGAGTTATCATAGTAGGGTTATTTAACTATCAATCCGTCAATATCGCAGATCCTCGTGTTATTTTGGCAATACGTTATGGCGCCTCTTAGTTTATGGCCCAACTATTTCCGGAGCTGGATAGGCCATTGCGCACTTTACTATCGCATAAATAAACATACGTTAACCGCACATTTAAATACTCTGTTGAAACTAAAAACAACACGTAATGGAATCTCATGATTACTAAAATTAATACTTTATTATTCTTCGTCGTTGTAGTCTTTTCTGACTGGTCGTGGTCATCAAGTATCAGTGACCCGTTTCACCAGGCGCCGCCACTCCTCCCTAGTCGCTGCATTTTTAGTACATTGGTGTAGGGGGACATCTGCAGCCGCTCTGATTTGGCCGGTCCACCTCATGGGTGATCTACCTCGTGGTCTTACTTTATTACCATATCTATATTACTGTATACTACAAAAAATGTTTTATGTCTGTGTAAACTCCAACACACCTTCAGTTAACTGTGCAGTTGAACTGTACCTGTGTAGGTAAAATTTTAACTGTACAGTTTTGCCTATACACCTTAAGAGTGAGCACGAATATTCGTGATGCGCGTCTTCGTAACATCATCGAATAAATATGTCTACCTATAAATTTTGGATAAGATTTGTTGATGTCATTTACGTCCAATAGGAGCGCTGCACAAATTTTAATACAATTTGTTCGATTACGTTATGAAAACGTTCCTACGAATTTTCGTGCTAGGCCCTCCGTTTTAACTGTACAGTCGCACTGTGTAAAAACCGATAGGATTAACTAAAAATTACAGAATAACATCCCCATATACCTCATAGGTACATTAAAATATTGCACTACTTTTTTATATTATTTTTTACACATTTTATATGTACTTACACATTTTTTCTACAAAATTATAAAGCCACTTGCACACGATCACAACGATATATAATTGTGAACTGAATTATTTACATTTGTATGTTATAAATGAATACGTCCATCTCTCACTCGGTACAGATTTCAACTGACCCTATGTTTATATGTTGTATGTTGAACTAAGCCTGATTGAGGACAGATGATTTAGTTTTGCGCTCTAGTAGGCAATGCTGTAATAACCGTGTTCTGGGTTCGATTCTAATTGTATTGTTTGAATATGATAGATCCAGCAAGAAAAAGAGAATGGAAAAGAAATTTAAAGAATGATGTATTATATAATAGATTGAAATTAAACAGTCGATCTTGGATAACGGAGATTGCAAGGGACTGTGAAATTTTTCTCTTTTATAGAGGTTTCTTTACAACTTGAGTTTAATATTCTGGAGATCGTTCCTCGGGACCGAATAATGACCTTTGCTTGTCTAGTTTTTTTTTTAATTATAAGGCAGCAAAAGAGGCACCTAAATTCTCCGAAATTGAGTAGCGACCGCTACCCATAGATATGCTTGAAGCTTTTAAAGTTTTTTTTTTAATTTTTAGCTATAGAATTATTCCGATGTTTTACGTAAAGGCGCCTTCCTCCTTAAAATATCTAGCAAGTAGGCTTCTTAAGTTACTATTTCAATTGTTAAAAAAATGTAGTATAATACTTTTCAAATATATTGGCGGCCCAAGGTCATCGGCGCGCTGCACCTGCACACCTAAAATTGTATTGAATCGCAATTCGCGCAAAGTTTAGAGCCGCCAAGATATCTGAAAACATTTATACAAATAAACAGCTACCAATCAAAGAGTTCCGAGATGGGTTATGTCGATGCCGGTCTTTGTTTGTACAAAGTTTAACCACATTATTTAGGTTATTTATTATTAAGATGTTCGTGGATTCAGACAATTTGAGTAACTACAGGTTGTTCGGAAATAAAGAATAGATGTGAAACAGATTCGCCTCATAGTCTTTATCTTACTCTAGCCATTGGTTTCTGAGACCACTCTGTATAAAACATATCGTCATCCCTGTCATTATCTTTGACAAAACAGAGACAATATCTTCTAATCGGGGATTTTGGTCTCTGATAACCACAATAAGTAAAGTTCGAGGTTTCGACATCAAAATAGATCGATTACGTCATTTCAAATTCCAGTCACTTTTAAAAACTATACAAGTGTGAGAGAGATAATATCTTTTATTGGATATATTTTTAATTATTCTCATTTTTGTAACATAACCTACAAATTCGAGATTGCCGGTTTTAAGGTAAAATTTACTGTATGAAATAAAAAGACGACTGACCGTCTGTGTATTTAACCACATTCCTAAATGATTCATGATATTGTAACCTTTTTTCAAACATAAAACATCTATAGTGCCGGATTCTGAGGTTTATAAGAAAAAGAATGATTTTCAAGTTTAAGAAGGCGAGGATTCATTAGCCAATATTTAAGTTAGGTTTAAAGAGATAAGATTTAGCTGTCATGTTAAACTTTATCGCACTTTAAACTTTTAAACCTATAGATTAACTTTCATACAAAAGCCATCGTCATCTTATAAATAATTGAATACGTAAAAAAATATCGTTTTAATCGACTTCAAATAAAAAGACGGAGGTTCTTGATTCGTCTTATTTTTTAAGTCCCCTACCACAGGACTTACTATAAATTAATGTTTTTTATTAGTCCAAAAGAAATAATTGTCGTAAGATATAATTTCAATTTTTTTCACTAACTAGTTATAATTTTTTTTAAGTTATCCTCACTTACTTTCCTGTAGTACTTGCAAATATATACTTTATTCATCATGTAATTGATAGAATTAGGCTTTGTAATTGAGGTCGCGCGGGTATCCACTTAATCTGAGATCCACTTGCGGTTTATGGGCTGAATCAATTTCGTAATGAACCCGCAACCGTCCGAGTAATATATCTTCATAATGTTATAGGGCCTTTAGCGAAAAGATTAAGATAAATAGCTAGAAATCAGACCTAAATAGAGAGAACGATATACGATTATATCTTTTGCTTTGAAATTTTTTTAGGGTTTAGTAGTTTGCTATCTTGTATTTTATTGCGTTTTAATAAATTACAAAAGTAACTATGGTAAGGAAACATAGGGTCTATTTCTTATATTATAAAATCTTTAAAAATATTCCTAACGAAATTTTATAGTACTTTCACGTTTACACTGCAATACAATGGCTTCATTAAAAAAGGGTGTACAATTAAACGGCAGCTGCAAGCTTTTTAAATATTCAACAAAACTACGATATACCTATTCGATCATTTTATTAAAGCATCATTATTCTTAGGAATTAAATTGAAAATCAAGCATTGATACAGTCAGCTTCTAAACATATCTGTCTTAGACTTTCTATCAACAATAAATGTTCTTGAGGATAAGATATCAGGAAATGCTTATCCGGTTAAAAATGGCTTGCTTTGTAACTTTTTAAAACTGCAAGCCAGACGCATCTAGACTTCCAGATTCCAGACGATTTTATCGATTAAAATATGGACAAGGAACAATGTTTTAGCTGCATTATGGATACGGAAACGCGTGATTTTTTAATTTTCTAAACTTTATCACTTCGCCGAATAACTTTTTCGTGGCATATTATAAGTTTATAATTATGGAATAACACCGTCCATAAGTCCACCTACCAGGCCGAGATAACCAAATATTTAATTGTTATATTTCCAATTTACACATTTTCTGCTTTATTCTTACCCGACCAAAAAATGCATTTTAACATTTCACTGTAAACTTTTCCATAAAACTTAACACTGCAGTTAAGTTATCAAGTTGCGTAAGAAAGTTTAGTAAATGAGCCGCCCGACGGGTTACAGAGGGTCCCATCGGTCAACGCCTTTTATTTCTCGTCACACCACATTTTAAATTACAATTTCAAATTCTTACCTCAAGAATCCCAACCGATTTCGGCAAATCCTCGCAAGACATAAACACTGCAATTCCCGCCTTTGTAAAAACAAAAGAAAATTAAATAGTTGTTTTTTTAATACAATGACTTTTCTATCATAAGTCCACCGTGAATGCTAAACGTTAAAAAGTTAATTATGTATTTACTTTTAAATGTCAACAAACTTTCAAATGAAATTTGTTATTTATTCTTATAAGAACACAACCATTCCTAAAGGAGCCAAATGCAAACTAGTTTGGTTACTAACTCGCGCGTAGAAGCTCTCGTGTTGCTCTGCATTCACGAAAATTTATTTAGTGTGTGACAGAGACGTTAGTTCGTCTCATTCTAGCCTTTAGCTTTCTTTAGAATTCCTATGGGCGCGCTGGCTTATGGTGTACAATAGTTCTTTGAAGCGTTAAAGCACTCAATATTCATAATGCGTTTCCCGCGCTTGCCTATAACTTATATAGAATTGTTATTAATATAATGCAACAAAAGAACACCTTGAAACCGATGTAACCGGCATCATATTATAATTAAGGAACACATATTATATTTTTAAGTTATTGTGTCGACAATTCAAAGAATAATTAGCATTTCTTTTCTTTTGATTCCACTTCTGAATAATCCATTATTTAATATTTAAACGTGTTTAAATTTGATAATAAATACTGAACGAGTCGTTGTTAGTTACTCTGTTTAAGTCCCGAATCTAATAGGACGTTAACATAAGATACATACTATATATATAACATCAGGTAGATCTTTATTAGCCGTAATTCAAATTTCATAAGGCCGTGTAATTTCTGATGCACGAAAGCAAATGCTTAAAAGATGTGAATAGAGTTTTACACACTTTATGAATAGCATCGTAAAGGACTGCCGACTGCCGCTTTGAAAGTTTACAAACAACATCATGTTTTTCGCATTGTTTACTTTAAAGATAAACATTTTTTACCTAGAAAATGTACAAGAAAACGTCTACAAGCGCAGGCTTTGGTTTAAATGACAGATCCAGGATATGAGTTCAAGTAGAACGCGAAGAAGTAATTCATAAAAATAAATGGATACTCTTATCGGATATACTTGCCAATGACTTATAAATTACAATAACTGTTACCTTTTCATAAACTAAATAGCTTTCTCAATAACAATAAAAATATATCTGCGACGAACAATTTCCTGCCCGTGATGGCTTAAAGGTTTCGTTACCGGGCCACAAAATTATTTCGAAAAAAAAAGATGTCACAGAAACGTGTTTTTGACATTGACACATAACATAACCTCATCATTTTGTTTTTTACATGAAAATGTGGTTTATGTTTTTTGTTTAAACATTTTATTTTATAAATACTTTAACTATTTTTGACTGCATTCGGTAATATTAAATAGAATATGAGTGAAGAAAATTTTGACGCAACGGAATCCAAGGCAGGAGAACAAAATGAAAACAATCCACATAAGCGAAAGTGGCGTAAAAAACGAAAGAATTTCTTATCGAATGCAAAGAAATATGCGAAGAAAGGACAAATGGGTCGAGGAACACAAATATCTGAAGAATTATATCAGTACTTCGTTGGAATTTTGGAGGCTATCAAACAAGGGATAGAGGATACAGACAAAAAACGTGAGTATCTTCTTCATTTTTGATATCTTTATTAATTTATTTTATTAAAACTTTATCAGAAATCTATATTAATTGATATGCAATAAATTAAAATGATAATGATTGCTGATGTCCATGGGCGTCGTTGAACACCTCGGTGTTCCCGGTGCTCGTTTGCCCCCTTCTGTTATTAAAAAAAAATAAACTACAAATAATTTGAGAATTAAATTTATTTATTTTATTACAGAGGCTCTAGTCAACAATGTACTAGAACGAAGTAAAGACGAAGAGTTAAATATAATAGGTAATCAGTTAGGATGTCGTGTTATTGAACTTTTGATACCGTATTCAACACCTGAGGACCTGGAACGATATATCGAAGTAGTTAATACAGACCTTCGTAGGCTATGTTCTGATAACTTCTGTGGTTACGTACTCAACAGTATGCTAACTGTTTGTAGTCACAGAGCAACAGATCACTTGCAGATTGATAATCAAGAAATAGAAGATGAAGTCCCGAAAAAGAAGAGAAAGAAAGAAAAAGGTTGTAAATATTCAGAAGAGCATGTTAAAAATTGTCATGAGTTTGTTGTAAAAATATCAAAGTATGTTTTGAACAATTTAGAAGATTTCGTTTGGGAACCGAATACAAATTATATGGTACGAACAGTACTCAAATGTTTAAGCGGTATTAACCTATTACCCGGAGAGAAACCTAAAGTAAATCTCTTTAAAGAACCAATATTACAAAATAAAGGTATACCACCTCACCAAAGTGATGTTAAGTATAGGAATGTTCCGAAAGATTTTACAGAAATAGTCAAAGAGTTTGGTAACCGTTTATCACTTTGGCCTCAATTCAAAGATTTGCCTTTTGAAAATATGACTTCAGCAATGTTACAAGTACTTTTATTTGCTCTTAAAAATGCTGACAAAACGATAACAAAGCAGATAATAAAGAAATTATTAAATGAGAGTTTTGCACCAGATGACTGGGTACCGGAAGGTGATGATGATAAAAAAGATGATGAAAAAGATAGTAAAGATGATATAAATGGTGAAGAAAATGGTGATAATACATCAAGTTCTAATTTGCCCCCTGTGTTTCAATCGGAAGCAGCTGTAAGGTAAAGTATTGTGTGATTTCTAAAGAACAAATTTTTATTAAAACCGCTTTTTCACTGGTGCGAGTACACTTATTTTTCTGAAAGAAGTATTTACTATTTTCACTAGCATGAAGCCTCTTCTATACAATTATAATTGTTGAATGCAACTATGAATCACATAGTTACTTGCTAAAACATCTAATATGTGTATACCAGATGAAACTCGTGACTCCATCCGTATGTAATAAAAAACGTAATTAGTAACTTATGTGCTCTTTCAAACTATGTTCTACATCTATGTTGATACATTCCTGTGGTACCTTTTAACAAACATCCATAATTATATCCAAACTATGGCATTTATAATATTAGTAAGATAAGAGTTAATTAATTTCCAGGTTACTAGAGGCAGCGCTGTTTGTAGCTAAAAAGAAAATGTACACACAAATATATGCTAAATGCTTCATTAATCGTCTCGGTCAGCTGGCCACTGTTAAAACATTAAACTTTACCGTGCAGAGGCTTATTGATAACTGTCAGATTAAGGAAGAGGTAAGAATAATTATTGGTCTAATCACCCTTGACTTAGGGTAGGCTCCGAGCCCCTCGGTGGGGATGTATTGTGAGCTGATGAGGAAGAATTATTCCTATATCTATATGTATGTAATCTCGAAAGAAAACTATTCCATGTATTGTGTATTTGATATACCTATAAAGTAAAATGTCTGTATCTGTCCATAAGCCATGTTTATTACGGGTAATCTCGGGAACCACTGGACAGATTTGGACGGGACTTTGACTGGAAGGTAACTTAAGTCTGTGGGCATGTTATAGGATATTTTTTTATTTTACGCTTACGAATTCCTGACTGTTAGGCCACAATATAATAATTTTTGTATAATAATTATTTTTTTTTAATGAAAAAATTGAACTTTTTTTTCAGTTTGAACCGATGTTTGATGAACTATGCCCCAAGTTTGAGGAGATAATGTCATGTGGTAACACAGGCGTGTTGGTGGCATTAGCTAAAGCCTGCCACAGATTAAAAAGCAAGCAGTCACAGTTTGTTCAGGTTTGAAAGTTAATTTAACAATCATTTTATAAAAAAACGTGACAGACAAAAAAAATATGACACTCCGGAGATGAATCGAATGACACCCCAATGTTGTAATTGACATACAAACAAACCCACATACATATATACTTCATACAAAGTACATTTAGTCTGTTAGGATATTATTTTAGTTTGCGAAACAATTTTTGTTTGTTTTTACTTTATTAAAAGATATTTAACTTCATGTAATTTTAAAGGATCCTTTGTTGTCTTCTTGCAGCATCTAGAAGCAGTATTAAAGTGTACAGAGGATGCAGATCAGAAGTACTTCTCCGTGTTGTGCCTGCGCTTGCAGCCGTTACACAAAGTGGATGTCACCCAGTTGTCGGAGGAATATTTCATACATATACACGGGTCTATTATATTGCAGACTATACTGGACTTCCAGGTAGGTTTTGTGAATATAATTTTCTAGAAATTTTTAACATATGTAAAATTAATTTTATTGAATTTTTATTGTTACTCTGTGATGATGTAGCTTTCTAATGGTGAAAGAAATTTTTAAATCAGTCCAATAGTTTTTCAGTTTATTCGTTACTAAAATACAAACTTTTCCTTTGGTATCTGTAATTTTCGTTTAAGTTTTTAATTCAATAGTGTATAATCTGTAAAATAATGCGAGTTAGTTATATTTTATTAATATTTTAGTATGTCTTTAACTATTTAAAAAAAGTGTGAGAAGAAAAAATAATAGATTTAAAAAAAACATTCTATGATCCACTTTAAAATGAAAGTTTGTCAAAAGAAACTTCTATGAGTTCCGGTTAATGATCACAGATGGCGCTGATCCTGTATCATATACACATTAGTTTCATTCTATAATAACTAGATGTCGCCAGCGAATTCTATCGCGCGCAATAAAAAAAGCCTACGTGTTCTTCTAGTTTACATCTATGTCAAATTTCAGCGAGATCTATTCAGCCATTTTGTAGATATCTTCTAACAAATATCCATTTAAACATTCCATATCATAATATTACTAAGATTATGATTAAAATGTGTGTTATGTTCAGAGGCCGACAAAAGCAGTATCAAGCCTGCTGTCCCTGAGTGGTGAGGAGCTGATGGTGGTGTTGTCGGACGCTAAGGGCTGTCACGTGGCGGATGCACTTTGTACCGGACAATTTGTCGGTGTCAAATCTAGGGACAAACTTGTTAAGAAACTTAAGGTAAGACTAAGTTAAATACTAAATATTATAAAAGTATTAGGAATTTATTTAAATTGTTTTTTTTTAAAGCATAAGGTTTAGTTATGCCGATAGATGGCGATGTTACAAATTTTTAAAAATATTTTTTTAAGTTATCAAGAAAACTTATTTTTTCGTTATGTTGGTTTATCATTTTAAGTTTATTTTTTTAATTTTAAAGCAAAATAGAGAGCCTTAATAGAGATCCAATAGTCCAGTCTTTTTGTCTTCGTAATGTAGTTATTTTTTAAGTTAATTTTTTATTTTTTTGATGTTTATTTACATACGAACATTGTATCCAGGGTTACTATCAAAAGCTGGCTCTCTCTCAACACGGGTCACGTGCATTTGAACAGATCTTCGACGCGTCTTCACCGGAACAACAAGTTGCGATCATGACAGAGTTATCTGACAAGAGCAATCTTCTGAACGGCTCACAGTACGGCAGAATTATTGCTACTAAATACGATTTGAATACATTTAAACTATCACAAAAAGCTTGGGAGAAAGCGAGGAAGAAAGCTAAAAAAATTGAAGAATAATTTTTGAAATAAAATAAAAAAAACAGCCTATAACATGCTCGCGTACATCAGCTACCTTCCAGACCAAGTCACGTCGAAACCAGTCCATCCATACCGGAACATGCGCTGACTCGCTGACATACATACAGACAGACGCTACATCGTGTGAACGAAATATATCATTTTAATGATTACAAACACTCTTATTTTATTGATAAAATAGCTGTCGCCCGCGACTCCGTCCGTTACTAAAAATAACTTAATAAGTAGTCTATGTGTTCTTCCAGACTGTTCTATATGTATGACAAATTTCATCGAGATCCGTTCAGCCGTTCTGGAGAAACCTTCTAACATACATCCATACATCTAAACATTCGCATTTATAATATTAGTGAGACACGCATAGATTGCCAGTTATATACGAAATCTAAATGAGAATGTTTAGATAGATGTTTGTTTGAAGATATCAGAACGACTGAACGGATCTCGATGATATTTGTCATACATATAGAACATTGTCTGGAAGAACACATAGACTTACTTATTAAGTTATTTTCTATTCCGCGCGGAAGGAATCGCGGGCGACAGCTAGAATACAATAAAAGAAACAACGATGACATTCAACAGCACTGAAACACCAACTTCTTAAAAATGTATACCTGTTAGGTAATTGTTACATTTATATATTAAGATGTATGAAGTATTTGCTATAAGTAATAATTATAGAAATAAAATTGAATTATTTTTTTCTTTTGTATTTTTATTTTGCCTTCCATACATAAATCTAATACAAAAAAAAACAATTTTTTAAACAATTTTTTTTTTAACAAAAAATTTTTTTAAACAATTTTTTTTAATATTTATGAATTTGAATAGGAATCAAAGCAGTAAAATTCACGAATATTACATTTATTTAAAAAAATTACCTTCAAAAAAAACTAAACAAAATAAAACTATCAAACTATTGCTTGTTCTGTAATAAAACTTACTAATCAAAGTGTTAAATACAACATAATTAAAATTAAAACTCTCACCGTGGGTTTCCGAGTCCAAAACCTCCGTTTAAAACATATTGCTATCTCTATGTTGTCAAAGATAAAGTCAGGAACGACGTTTATGCAGATATTTAGATGTCAGAAACCCGCAGTTAGTTTACTATGAGATTGGATATTGACAGACTCCGTTACATCCGCGCGGGACTTCCCCCGGCTGCAGTTTACAGACGCGTCCTGAGCACATGTACTCGCCTTTACGTAGATTTAACTCTGGACGAGATTTTGTTGTCACTGAAAACAAGTATACATCAAATATACTACGTTCACTGCCAAAAATTAATCTAATTTTAATAAGAAGAATTTAGTTGTAAAATCTACAATTAAACACTTTATTAATTAAAAAAAAACAACTGCAGCACTTACCGTTGGTTTCTAAGGTCAAAATCTCTGTATATCGTCATCCCTGTCATTATATTTGACAAGACAGAGATAACAGTATATTTTAAAGGGAGATTTTGGTCTCAGAAACCTAACGTAATAAGAGTAACAAATAAGCTAAAATATGTAATTTATGTCTGCCTGCTATGAATACAGTTGAACCTGGATAAGTTTGAGTTTGAACTCTCAAAGTCCCTCAAGGGCGACACTTCTCTAACCCAAGTTTCTCGCTCATTGAAGTCGTCCATCGGGACCGAACATGCAATCTTGCTTATTAATGTTAATTCAAATCTTTATAAATTAAAGTCTTTTATACCAAATTTTGTAGCCCTGTATCCAATAGACGCCTCTAACTTTTCCCTGTTTGTTATCTTCCCAACCCTTTCGTTTCTTCCTGCTTTCGTTACCACATCAAGTGTCAGAATGAATAGTGAGCGGACATAAATGTCGACATTTTAGTAAGGTTAGTGTTTAGTTACACTAGCTCATTTCCGGATTTTCTTCCTAACACCTCTTACCTTGAGGATTATGATGAGCTGATGTCTTCCTGCCCTTTACATCTTGTGCGTGTGAAGATCTTCGAACAAGTAAACGTTGATCTAAAGATTTGAAGACGTTGTCATCGCGGTCTATCGGCGAACAACCGCCGATCCACGCCATCATTGACAGTGAAATGAAGAGAATCTGTAATTTTATAAACTAAGCGTTGCTCAATTGATTAAAGATATTCAATCAATTGAGCGACTTCTTATTTCCTCAGGTTATTTTTGTTATAAAAGCACTTTGATCCAATGGTTAAAAAATACGTTAGTCTACTTTTTGAACTGAAGTGTTATTTAAGAGAAAAATAGTAATTTATTATTATGAGTTATTTTACACATTTTTTTTATCAAAATAAACAAACCCAGGTAATGCATTATTTTCCATTTGAATTCAATAATGTTATGATTTCAGTTAAAAGGAAAATATGCGTCATTTTTGTGCGGAACAAACACGAATCTTGTAGAACACGTCATCGCATGAGCCATTGGTGATGTGTAAATCTCGAACTGTGTTTGCTAGAAGTTCAATGATCTAGATGTAAACATATAATAAACTAGCTATCGCCTGCGACTCCGTCCGCGCGATAAAAAAACTTTATGTGTTCTACATCTGCGCCAAATTTCAACAAGATCCGTCAAACAGTTCTGAAGATATCTTCAAACATCCATCCATCTAAATATTCGCATTTATAATATTAGTAAGATTAGGTTCTTTTTGCGCTATATTCTGAATACAGTTTTGTCAAACAAAGTCACATTGAAATATTGCAAAACTATCCCATTAAATAAATCATAAGTAATTAAGAATATTAGCCAAATTCCTACAATCATTCACTGCAACAGATTAAAAAGCACTGATAGCATAAAAATGCATTGTTTACATAATGCCAGTACAGTAGGACAGTACCGCTAAAATCATCGCTGGCAAACAACTGGCATTATAAATGATGCCATTGTGTCAAAACAATCCATGCCAGGCCAGTACAGTCCTACTATACTGCCATAAAGTAAACGAGGTATAAATCCAAAACTTCAGATACACTAATTCCATTTGCACAATTTAAAATAACACGACACAAAATTAAACTAAAACTAAGCTAAAGGACATATACCAAATTAAAGTTTAAAAAACTTACATTAATTGTCACTAATTAGTGTTTAATTATAACTATTTAATTTATGATTTTACTGTAAACAAAAGCTTTGTTTTACACTCACCAATGTGCGCATGACTTGGCCTCCTGTACACCTGCCTATAGACTGACGTTAGACATAAACACTCGTTCTTGTTCTTGTAAACTCGTTGTGTAGGGTGACTATGATATACTGAATAAAAAAGACATTCCCAATAGAGACAAAATTGATCGGTTATCTTATTAATTACTAGCTGTCGTCCGCGATTCCGTCCGCGCGGAATTAAAAAGACTTAATAAGTAGCTTATGTGTTGTTCAAGACTATGTTGTACATCTTTGCCAAATTTCATTGTCATCCGTTTAGTCGTTCTAAAGATATCTTCAAACATCCATCCATCTAAACATTCGCATTTATCATATTAGTAAGATTAGAGAATCGATTAAATATCGTCTTGTAAAATATGGCCAAAGGATGGGAAGTAGAAGTGGACTTTCCGGATGAGAGAATGCATGGAAAGTGAAAATACTTTCTTTCTGTGCATCCTCTCGTCCGTTGCTTAAATGTAGGCTACGCATGTGCAATTGCGTATGTCTATGGGCAACGGTCACTTTGCTATTTCAGGTAGCCACCTAATGATGTTAAAAAAGGATTGATAAATGTCTACTTTTAATATGAGCATATAATTTAACCAAACAATAACCTATCGTGTTTTAAAAATATACATTTCAAAGAAACATTACGGCATAACAGAATTAAGACATTTTTCGTAAGTAAACTTGCCCCCGGGCTGATTGTTCTTTGATCACAAATAAAATTATAATTTTTTTTGTATGATGTGGCTTTGTTGTTTAGTCATTTGTATATCCTTTTTAAGATCTTTGTTTTGTTAAATAACATAGAGATCTCATAAATATATTGAGTTATTCATTTTTATTTATTAGGTAACCAACATATTATTGTCTATTAAATTTAAAAACGGGTCTTGACAGACGGACGGACAACAAAGTGATCCTATAAGGGTTCCGTTTCCTAAGAGGTACGGAACTTTAAAAATGTTAAATATTATGAAATACAAATATAAACAAGCGTAATTTATCAAGAATATAACATTAAATTGAACAAATATATAATGTATATTCTTTTACAAAACCTGCGTAACAATTTTATTAAGTATTATAAAAGAATCCGTTCGGTAATTTTGTTTATTGTTTCAAAAGTGTATAATTTACTCAGTTGATTTTACGACGTATTTCAGATGTCTAATCATGTACAAAGTATCGCCTTAGGGGTCAACAAATACATCAAAAAGGCTGTCACGGTACTTAAAAGACGTGTACCTAAGGCCTTGAGGCATCTTACCTCGTAAAGGCATCAAATGTCAGCTTTGTGGAGCAATGAAGCGTTCAAAGACTTTAGTTTGTGTTAGACATTTTATGACTGTACTGATGATATACAAAGACGTCATACTTGGACATGTCACTTTATGTCTAAATACGTATAATTAAACATTTCTCGTTGTTTATATTACTTTATGATTGAATAAGCTGGGCGCAAGCAACTTTGTCCGCGCGGTATTAAAAAATTTAGTAGCATAATGTTCTTCCAGACTATGTTCTACATCTGTTCCAAATTTCGTCAAGATCCATTGAACCATTCTGGAGATAACTTCTAACAAACATCCATCTATAAATCCAAACTTTCACATTCATAATATTAGTAATATTAATAACAAAAATTTAACTTACATATTACATTTTAAATTACATAACAGTCGTTTTTTCCGTCTGGAAGGTACATTTAAAAGGTTTCGGGAATAAGCCAATAACGCTGTTTCAATTTTGTTATTTAGTTAGACTCTTACAGTTAGAATTTCTTCACCTGAAAAATTCCTTTGCCTCCCTGTAAAAAATGACGACAGTACATATTCGATATGTCAATATAGCGGGTACGATTGCGGACGTGTAGGAAGCAGGGACGTGCAATTAAAACCAGCGCGAATTCAAGGAGGTCATAGCTGTCCGCTGTCACTGTCATCTGTCAAGTGACACGGAAACTACGACATATAAGTGGAACTCTCCTAGGGTCACCATAAAATATAATCATTCATAGAGCAGCAAACTCTGACTGTGCCTGGACAGGCTATAAGACGAGGTATTGTGTGTCGATTTGATTTTCGCCATTTTAGATACGAACTAATAATACAGATAAAATAAAGATATTCGGAACAGAGCAAAAGCTTTTATTTCCAATCAATGACTTACCCATTTTTAGATATCAATGAGGGTAAAGTATTGTGCCTAAATCAATATTTCCCTCCAAGAAGGGACCTGTAAGAGTTAAGTGATTAGACGCAAGTGAGATTGTATTCAATCGCTGGTTTATTATTAGAAGATACTACGATAAGGGATTCTACCATTGCAGTCTTAATAAAGGTCTGATTACATGTACAAAAATTATTCGAAAAATTTACTTCATATGTTTATGGTCACCCTAACACGTCGCGGCCACACGACACGACAAAAGTGGTCGACACTCGACTCTGCGTTATCTCGTCTCAATTCTCAACACTCGATGACTGGTCACAGCTTCCGATCACCGTAGTTGATTTAAAATACGGGATTTTGGGACAAAAATATATTTTTAAAGGTACTTAATACAAAAATAACTAAGAAATTCTCTAATTCTGTATTTAATCCTATTTTTTCAACCAATTTGTAAAAAAAAACCTATTAAATAAAGTTATATTTACATATATTTCATCAAATATGAATCACTGCATTAGTTTTATTGTTTTGCTTTTAAATATTTATTATTTATGTTAGTAAAAGCTATTATGAAATTATTTTATTAATATAAATACGGCTGGGTTGTAATGACGCGTCATTTTAAGACTAAAAGACAGAACAATGTCAACAACAAATATATTTGTTCAGATGTCAACATTACTCGTAAAAAGTGACTGGATAAAATTTCTAAGAAATTTCTTTTGTTTGTGATTAATTTATTTAAATTTAAAGTACTCAATAAAAGGATACTAAAAGTAAACATCAATCAAATATTAAAATTAGGATGTACAGTCACGTTAATTCGCAGTATCACAGTTACAAAAAAAATTGCCCCACAACTAACTTTGGCCTCTTCTTATAAAAAACAATTTAGGTGTTTACGATATTTTGATGTTATAAAATAACTATTGGTGATATGTAATCTATAGATGGGATGGTAAATAGAATTTTATCGTTTAATGTAGTCAATTTTTCAACCGTAATTTTGGATACTAAACGACATACTGAGGGGATTTACTCCAAGAAAAGGCTTCACAAATGCGTTTTTTCGCCTCACTTTTGTACTCGGGATTAGGTATCTATAGGTTAGCCTATGATAAAGAATTGTTACGTTTATGGTAACCGCTGATTAACGCAACTTACTGAGTTAGCAAGGGATTTTGTGTTACAGAAAATTTAATAATCTCAAGAAATAAAACGACAATGAAGTTTGATTAGCTTTTATTAATGAATTCGATGCGGAACATACTCGGAATGAATAATTTAATAAAACAAATCGATTAGTTATTAATACATACTAAAATTGATGTATTATACATATACGCAGACATGAGTCATTTCAATTTACATTTTTCATATTTAATTTACAATTAAAAGTTAATATTGCACAAGAAGGGAACTATCCCACAAATGTATTATTATATTAATGTATTTATTTTATAGCTTATTTACATATTATATTAATATTTTAACTATATATTCTAAAGGTGCATTTTCATAAATCTATTATAGGTTTTGTTTTTTTAGTGCCATGAATCTACTGACCAGTGAAATCGCAGCTTAAAAGTATACATTTTGATTAATCTTAAAATATTACGATAAAGGATTTTTTTATATCAAATACACAAAGTGTTAAATGTACAAAGATATTATATTTAATATTAAGTTACGGTCATTGATATATAGATATGTAAATGTATGTATGTATGTCCCAAATACAATTTTGTATTGAACAATACTGAAAGATATTCTTTCAGTGTTGTAAAATAGGCCGATGGCGACCTTTTTGCGCATCGTTTTTGTGCTCCGAATCATTTCTCTATATATTATTATTATTTTACATCTTTATGGTTACGGTATTTACACAGTTTTCTGCTGAATTCATACGAGAAAATTAAGATATTTCTTAAAATATTTAAAGTCTTAATAAAATTGAAGCAAAGTAAGTTTATATAGTTATATATTTATACTACATATCCACTGTTATTAGACAACCATAATTTACCTATTAGTTACGGATTAAATATGTTTTCCTTAACCGAGGTAACCTTCGATAAAACATCTAATAACAGGTATATTTACATACATTCTAAAAATATTACTTTTAGTCTATGGCACGAACATAATTTACATTTAATTCAAAGTATTCGCTAAAATATCTACAACTATACAAATACTATTCAAAGAAAAACCTATCCAAATAAACTGTTATAAATGCTTGATGAGTGATTGTTAGAAATAGATAATATGGCTATTCATTTTTCTACAAGAAAATCTAGTCAAATAAAATTAATTACAAATGGAAAACAAAACCAGCAGTTTTTTACAATCGTTCAGTGAATAAATTTACACTATTTTGACAGCTAACGCTAGATTAAATATTTTTTAAAATTGTTACAAATTCAATTTTAATGTTCTACATTACAACACGAATTTTATTACTTAATATGTCACTGTCAAAAGCATTTTATCTTCTAACTTTCCTTGGGTATCTGGTAGTGTTGGCCAGTATCTCCTTGTTGATGCGTCATTTCTTCCCGCCAATGCCTCCTATAAGGCCCTGAGCTGTGGACAGATTGGCCAGGGTTATCCTGTCAGAATTACTTGGGAGATTTCTATCCTGATTATTGGCAAGTAATCGCTCAGCAGAGTTTAGAGTCGTGAGTGACAATCTGGTTTCGGAACCGGTTGTAACCGGGATCTGACTGGTTCCGGTTGCGGATATCGGTGTGGTTGCTCGAGGCAGGGTCTTGGCGAGCGGTGTGATGGAAGTCGGCGGTGAGGTGCGGTGGAGAGCGGTCGGCTTTTGGTCGCGGCCGCTACAAACCTGCAGAAGACAGAGGTCATACATTTCAGAAGCGGTGTTTACTTTAATAGTAAAGTCCAGAGTACAATCAAGGTGTCTGTTAGTGAGCTAGTTTGGCTGTACATGTGTGTGTGTGTGTGTGTGTTACCTGATGGTGGTTCTCCCAGTCCTTGTGCTGGCAGAAGGCGCCGCAGTAACGAGCCGCCCCGCACCCCGAGCACGTCTCCTGCGCCTTGCGGCCGCAATTCCAGCAACACTACACAATTTACATAACTAATTAGTAAACATCTTAGTATATTGCCTCCGACAACTTTTGGAGCGATAACTAGTCTTTGAAATCAGAATACTTCGCCCCTCCCCTCCTCCCTTACAAAGTCCCTCCCTTTAAAGTCGAAGATGTCCCTTGGTGGACGAGTAAGGGATACTGTGTATACTTTCAATGGCCTTGAATGTGGGAGAAGTCAGATTTTAGAAAAAGAACGGTAATGTCAATCATAATTAAACTGTAAATGTTGTCTTTGTGTTACTTACGTTCTGCTGCGGCGCGGGTGCGGGCGTGTCGTGCGGCGGCAGCTGGGGCGGAGGCGTGTGGCGGCGCTCCTTGCCGCGCTCTGACGTCACCAACTCTAGCGCCTTGCTCTCCGCCGCGCCCACTGCGCGCTGCAGCTCCAGAAGCGCCTGACGCTTCACCTGCAGGGAAACGTCAAGCCTTAAATGACTGAGACAAAAGAGTGAGCTATTTTATGAAGCCTAGTAGATGTCACCCATCACCAAGCAACCCATGACAATGAACTATGCAGCAAAATAAAAACGATTAAAACAATTCATGATGCCTTAATTTACCTGGTTAACAGCATCCTCAGCACGCCTCCGTACCTCGGCGACGCGCTCCTCCGTCTGCCTGACCGCAGACGCCATTATCTCGTTCGCAGCACGCTTTATCTCATTGCTTTCTGTTGTTTCCAGTCCTGAATGACACGTAAAAAATTACAAGTAAGACCTACATATTAAGTTTAGTGTTGTTTTTGTCTTATGCTTGACACCCTGACTAGTTTTTTTTTTTGAGACTTATCAACATGTAGAAAAGTGATACCGTCATTAGACCCGACTGTACCTCTCTGTTGTAATATCGCGAGTGCGCGTTTGGTCTTCTCTACCATGGAGAGGATGCAGTTAAGCATGGTGTTGATGTTGCGCCACTCGTCGTCTCCCTTGCCCCCGCCCCCGACACCACCACCCCGTGCCTCTCCCATTGACGCGTTCATTGAAGACACGTCGCGCACTGATATGCCACCTGGAGACAGGTCACAATGAACTTTTTTCTATGTATTATTGATGTTTAAAAAAATACGGTTTGATAAGGAACCTCCACCTTTTTGCAGACGATAACTACTTTATTTAGGCTAATGTTATGTACTGTAACCCTTAGTTTTTAGTTTAATAACTAGTAAATTAAACATTGAAAAAGAAAAGCAAATGTCATTAACAACGGGGGCAAAAAAACTACGTTGTCTATTTTTAAAATGCGTGGTAAATCGCAATTACGGCGCTTTTTCGAGCGCGCGCCAAAATCTAATGTCATCTGTCAAAAGCAACCACAGACGACAACGGCGAGTTTACAAAGGTTGTCATCTACAAACAATTTATAAGGCAATAAATCTGTACAAAACAGATTTTATAATATTCAATTTGAATTCCAATATAATTATAAAATTTTAAATTATGTATTTGCGTTAATAATTAATCTTAGCATTTTAATATCGAAACAGTAATAAAATCTTATGTTATCTGCATTTTTAACACTAAAGAGGTTTGTTTCTATAAAAATCTTACCATCTCTCCTTTCATAGGCGGGTTCTTGTCCGCCGTGATAGACAGGGTAAGGATGTCCGTAGTCAAACAAACTAGCGTTGCTAGGCAACGGGCAGAGGAACGGCGAGGGGTTTAGTAGCAGGTTGGTAGGCGCTCGCTTGGCCTGCGGCGGGAACTCCTCATGGGAACCATTCGACTGGGATGCCTCATAGAACCTGAGAAAAGAGGTAAATTAGAAATAGTTAGAACTGCAAAAGAAAATTGAACTTTATTCATCAGTTCTACTAACTACTGGCCATAGACTAACTATAAAAACCAACGATTGAAAGCTCTATGGACCGTTAATAAATTAATTAATTATGAACAATACAGAAAATCACTGAGATAAAGGAATCTAAAAGATAAAAGACTATTGTTTGATGCCACTTTTAAAGTTATCGGAACTTTATAACAAAAAGAGTTGGAAATTCATTGAATGTACATTATAAATGCTTTTAATACGACAATGGAATCGAAAGACAAAGCTCAAGTTTGCGTTAAATGTTTTGAGAATAGAAATAAATAAGTGTGGTCTAAAATTAAAACGGAAAGCGATTGTCTTTGTTAATGCATAGATGATAGATGGCGCTATGTGGAGTACATCCATCCTTTAAAGATCGCGAGACCTATTAAATTATTCAAACTTTCGTGAGACATTATAATAAACTTACTTAAAAACGGCTAAATACTCACGTATATTCGTCCGGTGGCGGCACTGACTAGTTTCGAGTTGATCGGGGGCCCTTCATCAAAGGGATTGTGACTGTTATTATTTCACGGACGCGGCCCGACGCTCACTTTACTCTCAACTAGTCGGTGCCGCCACCGGATGAATATACGTGAGTGTTTTAGCCGTTTTTTTAGTTTATCGCGAGACCTCTTTTAGTTGAACTGGAAGCAAGCTTAAGAGTTTTATTGAGTCCAGTTTTGTGTTGAGATTTACGCATAACGTAACAAAAAACAAACTACAACTTTTTACAGATTTATTTAAAAACAAAAACCTGCTCATTCTTGTAATATAAACCGTGGTAAAACGGAGTGGGGCAGAACAGCACGCATTGTCTGTGCCGCTGCGTTTGAACTTCGATAGTAATCTATGGCCGCGTTTGGATTGCGTTCAATTCATTATGAATCTGTGCCCCGCTAACGGCTAGCTATTAACACGCGCCAACAAACGATTGTATGTGCTTTTTGTGATAATAGTTTGAATGCATATATAACTTTAGTGTTTATTAATTGCAGTAAAAATAAGCCTAAAGGCCTTTTAACGTAATTTTAGTCATGTAATAAACCCACATTTCGATTTTAAACTGAAAAGCCTTTAATAATCCTGTTAAAATATATAAACAATCAAAGGTTGCTACTTGCTATTATTGTTATGGTATTTTAACTAAAAAATGAAGTAAAAATTTAACGCCTGTTCTTAAACAAAAGCAATTATTATATTATAAGTTTTATGTAGGCGCTAGTAAATAAAAATATTTTCGGGATATATAAAATTATTCATTAACCGTGTACATACATAACAAAAAATTACGTAGACAAACTTGTAAAATTCAAAGTGGAAAAGGCACATGGTGTACGTAGGATCGTTTGGCAAAGTTACGGCAGCGAACTGGTGGTCCCGTGTTCTAATAATTTTGCGGGCGCATAACTCCACGCACATGGGGCCAACGAGTGCTCCCTTCGGAATTTAAAGCTGTGCCGTTGTGCCAAATTGTACGAATGTCAATAAGTTAGGCCTAACAAGGGATATGGTAACGGAAAAGTTGTTATGGCTTGTGATTTATAAAACAACCCACAATAAAGAGTGCTCAATAATTGCTGAATAGTTATTTTTAGGCTTTTGACAGTTATACACTTTAATGTCTTATTTTTCTTGAGAAACAATTATTAGGCAGTGATTTTTATTCATTATTAATCACCCTACTAATGTAAAAATAGCGGAACTCCTACGTCTGATGATTCTTTACCCCTTTTAAAATTAAATTGATAAACACAAGTCCCTAATGACATAGTTATAGGGCAAACTAGAAACTTTCTGTCCGTAGTTTAGATATAGTTGTTAGAGCATATGTCGTGCACGGCTGTGTCTGAGAGGCGCGGTGAACTAGCGCCTGCCGGCTGCCGCGCGGCAATTAGTTGACGATCAAACTTCTGACTGTAGTAATTGCTATTATTTTAGTGACAGGCGTTAATTAGAAATTGAAATTAGTTTTTAGTTTTAAATGAAAGGTAATTTAAATCTATAATGATATATGATAAAACTGGTGGTGGTAATATAATTTATATTCTACGTTGTAATCCGAGATGTCACCAGCACAATGCTAAATAAAATTATTTCAAGTTTTAAAAGAAAAAACAAATTAAATTCCAGACTAATCTTCTCAAAAAATAGTAAATATTAGTTAAGAATAGTTACGATACTATACAATTGAATTCAATTTCAATAACAAGATTCTTTTCTTTAATGAAATCTTCGTATTTGTACTAGGACAGGCAATTTGAGCACAATTGTCCCGCGTCCTCACCCAAACGTCACACGTCACAAACCGCAAAAAACTTTATCCCGCCACCGCGCGATGTGTTTGACAGATAGGGATGTGCTATTTTATTAACTTCGTTTTTCGTTTGCGCTCGTTATAAACATTACATAACGTTATTTATTAGAAGCGTTATTGCAAAATTAATTTATTAAGTGAACATAATATAAAATTTAAATTAATTATGTTATATTCATTATAATTATTTATAATTTAACAAAATAAATTCTATTAATAAATATATCTTATGTTACCTTACGAAAGAACACGTAGGTTTTTAATTATTTTTTGAACTCTACTACGAGTACAAAATATATTTATTTCAAGAAGAAATAAGTTTATGCGTGGGTTACAATATGCCAGTACAGTAGGACAGTAGCGCACAAAATCAGCCTTGGCGTACAAATAATATTGTGTAAACACTAACTGGCGCCAGTGAGTCCATGCAGTCCATGCCAAGCCAGCGATACTGTCCTATGGGATAATGTAATCCACGCATTGTTATATTTTCTTACTGTGAAGTAACACACATAATTATACACAGTTTGTTAGGTGATAAAAATAACAGTTACATTCAACCGTTAACTGCTATATGTCGACCACCATATCGGAGGTGTGAGGTTAACAGTGGCGTGTGTGGGGGAAAGGGGGGGTAACTCGCGAGAGTTCCCGCGGGACAAATTGCCTGTCTAGAACAGTCACCTGCGCCGGACGATTATTGTCCGGCGTACAGCTTTGATATTTGCTTGACGGCTTTTTAAACCTATTCCGGACTACGTTGTTAATGGATTTGTGGTTTAATGGAACTACAAATACGGTGTTTTGCCTCTAGAAACTCTTGGACAGCCAAAATTAATATCTGTCTGAGATCGATTTAGAAATTATTTTAATTACTTTTGATAAGAGTAGAAAAATTACTCAATCGCCCTAAAACCATATACTTTACAAGGGCTTTTGAGAATTATAATTGGTTAAATTTGAAATAAACGCTTTTAACAAAATCCAAAATGGTTTGAGATGGGATCTTAGGATGGAATATCGTTTTTTCTGCTCTAAAACATGTTTTAACTTACGGATCGCTCGCACGTCGTTTGATGGGCTCCATGGGATGTTGGTGTGCGAAGATGTCTGCAGCCTCCCCGCAACCCTCCAGCACGAGGTGTTCATGTCCGCGGATGTACTGGAGAGGTGTCTGCACATACCACAAAAGTTTTATGAGATGTTAGATTAATTCTATGCAGTATACTCAATTGTCAAAAAAAAAATTAGAAAAAAACGTATGGGAAGAGAACCTCCTCCTTTTGCAATTTGCAAATCTTGTCAATCTCTGTCAGCAAAATCGTGAAACCCACTAGCAAATTGTCCTCGAATAAATTTATGAGGCATTTTTACAATATTTTTTCTGTAGTATACCTGTTTGGCTCTTCTGGCGCGCGCGTGCAAGTCTCTCTGCGCGAGAGGCAACAGTGCGCGTAGGAAGCCGGGTACGGAGGCACGCAGTGGATAGTTGGTGCACTCCTGCACGCCCGCTTGGAACTCCTCGATGCTCATAGTGCCCGCCTGGAGGACAAGAAAAACATCTATCATCTATTACCACGTGTTTTAAACAAGACCATTATAACTTTAAAGGTCACTAGCTGTCGCCCACGACAGACGATAAGTAATTTTCTGTTCTTCCAGACTATGTTCTACTTCTATGGGAAATTTCAGCCAAATTTATGCAGTCGTTGTGCAGAAAAATTATTAATATTCATCCATCTAATCTTTCGCGTTTATAATATTAGTAAGCTAGAAGAATAGATAATTAAACCGAAAATGTTCACTTAAATCTGTGGGACAATAACAAATAAATTGATTTATTCTTTCAAGAAAATTGTATGTTTCATTTACGACCGAATCAGAGTACAATATCTTTCACTTACAACAAGATTGAAGATCAACTGGCGCACCCTGTCACCAGTGTCTGCGCTGCCCTCTGGCGCGAACTGCTGCAAAGCAGATAGGAAGCGACGCAGGCGTTGCAGCGCGGGCCTCGCACCTTCACACAGCGGCGGCGATAAGGACTCCGTCGATGACAGCCCTACACCACAGACAAATAAAAACACAGTTAAAATGCGTAATATATAAATGATAAAAAATGCTTGCTAAAAATCGAAATAACGACTGTTGAGTCAAAAAATATATATCCCATCTTTATGGTAGACAAGGAGTTTGTATTATGTTAGATAGGTGGCGTGCTGGCCACTAAAACCTTTGCCTTTTTTTTGAAAATAAAATAAAGACAAAAATATAGAAAAGCGCGGGACGTGTTAACATCGTATTATAGTTAATAGTTTTCGATAAAGTATTCTTAATATGTAAGTAATTTAATTTTGTGATTTAAAAAAAGTAATAAACGTATATTGACAGTCGCGCTGTTTTTAATTTGTACAACGATCTTATAAACTACGAATTACTGCAAGAGATCTGTCATTTATGTTATTATTACTGGCTGTAACTCTTTGTATGTATATTTTTTTTAATCACCGAACAAAAGAGAATTCATAAAAGATAGATATCGTCAGTACATTATCTGTGTCCCAACAGGTATGGTATAGTTAACATATCAAGTATAGGTTATGAACTGACCAGTTGTACCGTTATTCTGTGGGCTGGCGGGGCCTGGAGTCGGTGATACTCTGATCTCCTCTTGTTCAGGGGAACGTCTCTCTTTACTCGTCGTAGCTGCAACAAACATACAGTTTACATTGAGGAAAACATGTTGGCTACAACTTATACTTTTAAATTAGCAAATTATCTATGGTTCAGAGGGGTTAGACAAAGTGTATTCGCTCCGAAGCGATTCCACAACGAACTTCAAAAATGTATAGAACTGACAATTACTTTCGATAAGTCGGTAGTCGATATGAAGATAAGTAATTGTCGCGCCATAGTTTCATACAATTTTGAAGTTCGCTGTGGAATCGCTTCGAAGTGCTATCACTTTGTCTAACCCAGCAGATATTGACTTTATTTCATTTCAAGATTAAAAGATTATATAATAGCGTTATCTATTTATTACAAAGTAGCTGCCAGTAAATCTGTCATAGTGGAATTACAAAAGAAAACTTAGTAAGTAACCCATGTGTTCTTGCATACTGTGCTGTACATCTAAGCCACATTTCAGCAAGATCCGTTGAGCCGTTCTAGACATACCTTCTAACAAACATCCGCATTTATAATATTAGTAAGATATATAAGCTATTGGAGTTGTATGAAGTAGAGTTTAAGTCTACGAAATAATAACAATATCGTATAAATTTAATAGAATCCTCTCTATTCGTTCGAGAACAAGCATTGTATATGGAAGTTGGATCGTGTATAAACAGCTGGTCGCATGCGGCGGCACGCAGCCTATCCCGCGCGTTTGCTTTGCGAGCTTTTACTGTGCGGCTATAGATATAGCGGAAACGTAAACTGAAGCGATTCGATGAGCAAGCATCGACGCTAGACAATGTAACAATCGAATTTCGATATCGCTAGTGGAATCGACGAACGTACGTGTACGTGATATATCAAAAGTAATAGTCACTTCCGTATTGACTTTTCGATTAGCAGCATTGCTTATTAAATGTGACTTTATTAGCCTCTCTGCGCGTCTAGAAAGATCTGGTTAGTACGATATTTATTTTATTACTTCTTCTTCTATACATAATTTTTTTTTTCTCATTAGACTTACGAGTTAAATACTTGTTTATTATTGAAGTGTACACAGGATAAATTAAAAGTACTGTAGTGTTTTGTTTTATCGTAACTATTATAATTGTTAAATTGTTTGTTATGTAAACTATATGTTGATGAATCGCTTATTTTTGCGAATGTAGGTGACTGAACATTATTCGTTATATATCTGTCCGATTTCTTCTTCTTCTCCTTTCTCAGCTGTAAGTCGCCCACTGCTGGGCATAGGCCTCCCCCAAAGATCGCCACGATGACCGGTCCTGTGCTACCTGCATCCAGGTCGCTCCCGCAATCTTGACTAGGTCATCGGTCTCTCTTGCGGGAGGCTTGCCCACGCTTCGTCGACCTGTTCGACTTAAAGCTATCTAAAATCTGTATAATACCATAATAAGACAATATCGTATATGTTTTAACTAGCAGTTGTTGTTTCAGATATATTCCTTTAAAGATAATAAGGTATAATTTGATCGATTGGATTATATTTTTAAAATAAATAAATTCTCATAAAAACGAATCTAAAATGAAATCTAAATCATAATGCAAATCCTAAACCGTGCGCATGATATTTTCCGATTTGATACAACACAAACAGCGCGTGTCCGCGCCTCCGCCACACTCATCTTGATGTTTACACAGGCCGGCAGCGATTTACCTCAGGCCATCACAACAGCGGTTTTGTAGAGATTTTCACACTCCTATTTTCATCACTTACAACATTATGCTGTTTACAGTCAACGTACAACTACTACATAGACGCGTCAATCTCAATTTACGGAAATAGTCGTAGTATTATTAATATTTAAAATGTCGGCGTTTTTTCAATTTAAAAAAAAATAAAATAATAAACTAAAGATATAAACAAAGGATTTGTGAAATTAAAAATATTAAATCCAAAAAAAAAATATTTTTGTGTAAAACGCTGTTTTCATGGCCACACAAATAATATATAATATAGTGTTTATATGATCATAAATAAGCTTTTATTCATGAGTGTGATTAGCTCATACAATCATTACTCACATTTATTTATCATAATTATTTTATATGTATTCATTCCACTGATGAACCATACAAGATCAGAAATATATGGAGTTATTCTAGAAGTTTCTGTTATAGCAAAGCTGCTTATTTAACTATTACCAGCTGTCGGCCGCGACTTCGTCCGCGTGGATATATAAAAAAAAACTTAATTAGTGTCAGCCATCCATCCATCCACATCACATCCATCTAAACATTTGCATTTATAATATTAGTAAGTTAAACAAAAAGCAGCTCTTCAAGGCATAAATTGAAAAAAAAAGAATAAATAGTATCCTATGTCCGTCTCCTGGCTCTAAGCTAACTCCTCACCAATTTTCAACCATATCGGTAAAGTCGTTCTTGAGTTATAAATAGTGTAACTAACACGACTTTCTTTTATATATATAGATTTATGCTTATAAAATTATTATGAACAGTATCAATTAAACGGTATAATTCAACACATCAGTTTCTACAAAAATAATTGCAAAAACGTAACACACAACAATTGTTAACGAAAGTACAAAACGCTGTCTTTTAATCAATTTCCATCGCCAAATTTCATCGTTTCCATCTCGATGGCTGGCATTTCACAATGACGAGATTTTGGTGTAACTTTTTGCCTCGCACAGCCGCGTTGTAGAATACCCTGTCCTCAGCGGTATTTCCAAACAGTTACGACTTAGGGGCCTTCAAGAAAAGAGCGTACACCTTCCTTAAAGGCCGGCAACGCATCTGCGGTTCCTCTGGCGTTGCGGATGTCCATAGGCGCCGGATCAAATAATATTAGGCGATTCATTGCTCGTTTGCCCCCTTCTATAAAAAAAACGTTCCTCCATTAGTTTCTGAGACCAAAATATCTATATAAAACATATCGTCATCCCTGTCATTATCTTTGACAAAGTAGAGATAACAATATGTTTCATCCGCGATTAATTGCTTATCTATGATATATTTTTCTTTTCAAATTTCTTAGTTATTTCCTAATGATGTGAACTCCGGAGCCATGTCTTTGAAGTATTTCTCAGCACAATATATAAAGTGGCGAGCCGCGCTGCGCCTGACAGAATAAATAAAAGTTTTGTCGAAAACGCTAGTGGTGTGCCGTCGACACCAGACTACAGTATGCCATAGCGTGGCGACGTATTAGCTAGAAAAATATATCGATAAAAAACAACCAGTTACGTTAATCTTTCAAATATTGTCAGTAACATTAATAAAGGACACTGTAGAAAGACTTTCAGGAAGATTATACTCGCAGCAACGTCCACAACGAGTAATGTTCCAATGACAGAAACCTGTGCATATTTAAAAATATCACCAGGAAAGGTAATTTTTAAAGGTAGTTTTCAAACAATATGAGTATCGTTACTTTTAAATAACTTAACATAAGTACTATCGACACATATCGATAGTTGATACATCGAATGCGTACATCACTGTACGTATAGTCCTGCGTATGACAGGCGACACCTCGGAGCCCTAAGCCCGGAGACCGGAGTCGCGGCCGCGCTTTCATCTCACAAATTACTGCCGGATATTGTTAATGATATCATTTATTCTACAACTATTTTATGACACACCTCACATGTGTCATTGTATTGTAAAAATGACACACATCTAATTATTCAACTGTCGAATTTACGAAAACATAATGGTTCTTTAAAAAAACTAGAAATAAGTCACAATTATTTGTGACGATTTCATAGTCATTAACAAATTTTATATCAAAACTAGCTGTCGCTCGAGACTCCTTCCGCTATTGAATAAAAAACATAATTAGTAGCCTATGTGTTCTATGCTAGAGCATGTAGACATCTATGCCAAATTTCAGCGACAACCATGCAACCATTCTTTTTTTTCAGAGTGGAATGCTTTATGCATACTCCGCGCCCCGGGGGGGACGCGGTAGTTATGTGGGATTCTCTACTAAACCCCTCTGTTCCTCCTACGCATCTTGGCGAGGCCAGGGGCACGCTTGCGCTTTCGTCCGCGACAACCATGCAACCGTTCTGGAGATACCTTCAAACAAACGTCCATCCATTTATCCATCCTAACATTCGCATTTATAATATTAGTTAGGATTTGTGCAGCGCCCCCTATCGGGGGTAAAGTATATCAAAAATCATACCAATTATGACATAATTGACGATGACGATGCTAAGGGAATTCTCACAACACACGTGCTATGCTCACAGGTATTTTAGGAAAAACCAGTAAATTCAATCGTTTTTTTTAAACTGTAAAGCTTTATGAATGTAGGTTTTTTTACCGTATATGTCGTATAATATATAATATTACGTACTTACATTATTTCTACCCCTAGGGGGTAAATGTAGAGAACCACGTATGTTATCTAAAAGGTAATCAGTCAAATGTATCATTAATAACGTAATTAAACAAAATTGACATAAATATATTCATAGTTTTTTTTCCAATCAACACTTTCGTGACTAAAAACGATTAGAGTAAAAAAACAAACAAGCTTTTTACAAATATTTTTCTATCATTTTATAGTTTATTTTCGTATTTATTTTGAAAGTTGTTATAAAATTAAAAAGATACGTAAATAATTCTAAAATCCAAGCAAAAAATTACGTAGTAATCTTTTAACGAGAAGTCAAGGATTTAAATTTCCATCTAGAATCGAATACATTTGTATTCGATTCTAGATCAACGTCAAAATGGTTAAAATGAAATAGGCACAAAATGTTACGTCTTTTAGCCAGTCCATTTATGTAGTCAGTGATGAGATAGTAGCGGCTCTCATCAGGCCAAATATTTTGACTATAATTACTTTATGAACGTTATTATTTGGTTACTAATCGAACCTAAGCCAAACTCTAAAGACTACAAAGCTATACCAGAGTACTGGGGTAACAAGATTTATGTGTTGACAAGCAGGAATAAGCATCATAAATCAGTTTGGGCCCAGTGTAGAGCTCTTCTCACGAGTGGCGCCATCTAGCGAACTGTCATCTGCCTGCGTATATACGAAAGGGGCTTTCATTTTTCGATTCAACGTATTCAATTTAAAAATCATGGAATTAAACGGAAAATAAAAATAATTGCAAAATATATTTGTGACTTGAAAAAAAAAATTATAATATTTTAAAGTCGAAAATCTTAATAATATTAATGCGAATTTTTGGATGTATGGATGAATATTTTTAGAAAGTATAACGGCTGTATGGATATCGCTGAAATTAGGCACAGTTGTAGAACATAGTTTGAAAAAACATTGGCTACTAATTAGGTATTTTTAATTCTGCGCAGTCGGAGTCACGGGCGACCACTAGTGAAAAATAAATGTTTTACAAATAAATCATAACACTACAATTAGTGGTTGAGCATTGATTTTTAAATGACACATAGAAAATGATTTAAAAATGTAAGGAAAATGACGGAGTAGCAAATGTATTGGACAAGTTAATAACACGTGAACGCCAGGAGGCGGGCTTCATACAATATTCATAACTAGGCCATAGACAAACAACACATAGATTATAAACCATAGACAATTTAATTTTTTTATGTAAAAAGTAGTAAAAAGTAAAGAGTTTTCTGCCACAGATGACCCAAGTTTAAATTAGGCTCTACACGTGACTCTAAAAAATAATTTTCTTTTTTAACAATATTAAATTTTGCACAAACGTTTAGTTATTACCTACTGCCGACAAACCAGTACAAAAACATAGCCATCTCTTTTCTCTCTTTAAAAGAAACAGAGATTTTGGACTTAAAAATCAACGATAAAACAAATATTAATAACTAGCTATCGACCGCGATTCCGTGCGCACGGAATTACAAAACTTAATAAGTCGCCTATGTCTTCTCCCAAAGTATCTTCTACATCTATGTATGTATGTCTTTCAGCGAAATCCATGCAACCGTTCTAGAAATACGTAATAACAAACATCTATACATCCAAACATTCGGATTTATAATATTAGTAAGATTCACCACTGAATACTAGAGGTGCCACAAACTAAGGTATATACCCCAGTAATCGATGACAAGAAGGGTGGTACCCGAGAACAAACACAGTGAATTATAAAGCGCGGGAAATAACAGCTGTTACTGACCACTAACTGGCGATGGTGTCGAGTTTTTTTTATTTTTCGATATTACTTACCTCTGATGACGATGATGATGATGGTTTTGATATAGCTAAAAGACTTCGCCTCGGAAACAAACTAGGTATCTTACTAATATTATAAATGCGAATGTTTAGATGGATGGATTGATGGATGTTTGTATGAAGGTATCTCCAAAACGGCTGAACGGATCTCGATGAAATTTGGCATACATATAGAACATAGTCTAGTAGAACACAAAGGCTATTTGTGTTTGTTTTTTACTCCGAGCGGACGAAGTCGCGGGCGACAGCTAGTAGTTTGATAATTCTTCGGATACTAATTACTTTAAAATTAATTGTTTGTTTTTAATCAATAGATCCTTCGTCTGTTGTAGCCAATAAATGTATTAAATAGATAAGAAATCTTCCCTTTCTGTTCTGTATAGAGGTAAATAATATACTAATTGTATATAACAGCAATATTCTGTCTTCGTGAGGAATAAACGTTCAGAACCATTCATTCGTTGCAAATACACCGCTCTTTATAGATATGGTCGTCATTGAATTAACTGGAACTAGAAGTGGCTTATGATGGTCGAGCGTAGTTATTAATACAAGTAATTGCGGCAATATAATTTAAATTGAAATACTAATAACAATATGAGAGTAGTTGACAAAAGATTAGTATTTTTTAATATCCATTTCCACTTTATTTTGTTTTAAAAACAACGACGTGAAAAATTTACATACACAGAGGCTAATTTAATAAGGTTTTTTACCTCAGTTACGGTCATGCAAAGATAATTAGTGCATATCAATGTTTAATTCTAATTCCGACTATGTCACATCCAATAGTCGTATATCAGTGTAGTTGAATCTCCGTGCCTCAGTCCGCTATCGCTAGATTACGATCGACAGTTGCGGCGTTCCCACCGCGCTCTGCCCACGCCCAGCTCACAGCCCACAGCTCAGCCCGCGGGAAACCGGCCGCAAATCCACACGGATTCAACCTACATGTTTACCTTTCCATCATGTGATCTTACACGAATTCAGATGTAGATTTTTATGTAGATTGTTAAGGTGCTAACTGTGGACCTAGAATGAATAATTGTGACAAACACACACTAAAATATCATAATAATTAAGACGAAGTTGACGAAGTAAATATTCCTGCTAGGCCTAACTTGTCCTTTAGTCTATAACATATTAGTAGTCCCATATTAGACCGCTTTGGTAGAATATTTCTGACATAGACATAGCAAGGAACCAATAGCCAAGTGGAACGTAATAGATTTATTAACGAAAACAGAGGTTCCAAGTAAGATTCAAGTTAGCTCAAGCCTTGCTACTAAAATGTACGATATTTGAACTTACATTTCCGGCGATCAGTGGTGCTGGGCTGGTAATCTTTGTCAGGAACTTCTTCCTTCACTTTAGCTTCCATCTGCAACAAACAAGCACTGACTTAGTCTAAAATATAAACATACTAGCTGTCGCCCGCGACTCCGTTCGCGCACAATTAAAAGATCAACAATTGCGATAAAAACTACCCTATCTCCCAAGTTGTACCAAATAACAGATGCCTACAAAATTTGATAAGTATTGGTTCAGTAGTTTCGGAGTTTATCATGAACATACATCGTGACCAGAATTTTTTATGTATATTATCATTCGGCAGTTCTGAGCTTGCTGTAAAATGTAATCGACACAGGATTGTGCCCTATACAATCCTGTGTCGATAAGGGTAGGATAGGTAAGTCGACGAGAAAATACGCATTTTTGACCTATTACTTTTTCGTAGAAGACTTAATAAATCAAACAAAAGAGAATAGAAAGACTCCTCGTCTATACTATGTCCGGATTGTCGCAATGAGGCAAAAATATTCATTTTTTCCGGTAACCTTAGCTTTATAGGCTGCCCACACACGACTACACCGGTGTAATTTATAACAGTAACATGTGAAAAGTTTGCAAACATGTAAACATGTGCAAATGTAATTTCTTTCATTCCTTTCGGATCTCTCGACGTCCGGCCATACCTCAGGGTCGACCCACGCTGGTCTTTATTTGCAGTAACATAGCAGGGGCGGTGTTGACAGACACCTGCGCTATGCGGACACTGGTCAGTGTTGCTGGAGGGAAATATTTTAATGGAGCGCTCGATAACACGAGCCAGGCGAGTATAGACTAACTATTGACAGAGATAACCTAAAAAATTAAATAAACTATACTAATTCTTCCAAGAATGCATGCCTTTGTACAACACTAGGTGAAGTTTTAAGCGTGAAGTAAAATTTCAAGTAAATAACGAAAACTTTTAGTAATTTTTTATTATAAAAACAGATTTTGGATAAATTACATCTAATTTTAGTTCTTCTTCTTGTAGTTATTATAAGAATCTTTTATTAAACATTATTAATCGTATATATTTAATGTCAATCTCTATATATAGCTGCTCTGTACATGTGCAAGCGTCTGGGGGTCGTCAGATCTGACGGCGCGGTCAAGTACGCAGAAAGCTACAATATACACGTCTGATTATATACAGCCCACTACAGTTCAGTATAACCAGTGATATGAGATTGAGGTTTAGGAAGAATGTTACATTTCTGCAGCTATTAACTTAGCTAACTTCTGTAGGAACTAACTGACGATTCCGTCCTCGCGGATTTAAAAAAAACTTATATATTTGCAGTCTAAACATGTTCTACATCTATGCCAAATTTTAACGAGATCTATGCAGCGGTTCTAGAGATACTTTCTAACAAACATCTATCCATTCATGCATCCAAACATTCGCATTTATAATATTAGTAAGATTGTGAATGTAACTGTGTGAAAAATTAAAAAAGCAAGTCAAAGGCATAAACTCTATATTATTATACTGTAATTTGGCATTTGGATTAAATGCACTGTATTTTCGAAAGACCAATAACTACTGCCTGACTATACTGTTAACATTTAAAATAAAACAAAAGTTAAAAAAAATCTACCCAACATTTTAAGCCGGAATTGAACAAAAGTTAGTTTTAGAATACTAAAAATTAAGTTTCTTTCGATTTTCATAACTTGAGCTTAGAACAAAGGGGTAGTTTCGGCGGGCGTTCCCGGAGCGCTGGGGTTGGCTAGGGGTGTGGGGTGGTAACAGGTGTTGAGCCAGGTGCCGGCAACGAATACAATTTTTACTTCGGCACGTAATTGCAAAGAGCGGGTGCGGTGCGCGGTCGCTACTCTGATGTATTGAAACTATACGTCGTTAGTTGAAATATAAAAAAATAGTGTAGTTAATCTCAGATATGTTTTACTAAATTAGCTCTTACGATTCCGTCTGCGAGGATGAGAAACTTAATTATTAGCCGATGTGTTCTTCCAGGGTATGTTCTTGATTTACGCCATATTTCATCGAGATCCATGCAGCCGTTCTAGAGATACCTTCATACAAACATCCAGAAATCCAAACATTCGCATTTATATTAGATTTAATTAGACTTTGTATTTTGAAGCTGATTTAGAATTAATATTGTGACAAAGGTGTAGTATGTTAATGTTAATCTGGATGAACACAGGCTACTAATAAAGATTTTTTAAATTCCACCCACCCGGAGTCGTTGGCGACAGCTAGTATGTAAATAATTCTAATTTACTATCTGTGTTTTATTTAAAGTCCCGATAAAAGTTTTCCGATTCAGGAGATTATCACGAGCTTTTGCTGAAACATTGACAATAATTTTGGCAATTGTTTTGTTTCTTTCTTAAGTAATGTTGTTAAAAACAATTTTATTTCACAAATGAATGATATTCAACGTTAACAATTATACAGAAATAACTAAAATCTGTGTCCTAAATAAGTAGAACAAATGTTAGGATCTGCAGCAACTCACACAATCTAGGCCTAGCTCTCAATCTGGACTGACGATGGATTTTACAAATGCAACTTTAAGGCGCGTACACATAGAGTTAATCATTAAGACTATTAAATTCATAATTTGTAAATTACTTAATGTAATTATGAAATACTTTATTCTTACTGAAATTAGTAGCCTATGTGTTCATCCAGGATAAATTTCAGCGAGATCCATACAGCCGATCCGGAGATACATTGTAACAAACATCCATGTATCCATCCAAACATTCGCATTTATTATATTAGTAAGATGTTTGAATAGTTTAGGTGACATATTTTTTAGAAGTGTCACCGTGAAAGACTACCTTAACAAGGAAAAAAATTACCACTGTACCAAATTGTCAAAATTCTGTACTCAATAAATAAAGACTGTGGAAATTGACGCGTAATTATAACCAAATGCTCATACAACTAGTGTGAACATGCCCTTACACTCAGTTTCATAAATAGCGTCCGCCCGCGCACCATATGGCCCGCACGTGCTGAACGTACACTGTGCGTCACATCCGGACAGATACCACCACTTCCGGACAACTCAAGGTTACCATAGACCATTGGTAGTTCAACCCTGGATTAGGGGGTGCTAGGATCGGAGGCCCACTAAACTGTTATTGATATGGACTGATTAACTAACTATCCTTTAGAATGTTAAACCTATTTTGTTACAGCAATAAGAACTTCATTCTAAACAATTTATATAAATTAAATCAAATAAATAAAGGAAGGGAAAATACTTGAAAGATAAAAGCTGGTGTTGGGACATAAAACATCGATCAGTTTAGTGATACAGTACAGTTCATTTGAAAAGGGATTATTCAATTTACTAAACTGTATTTGGGTCATTGTAAAATAGATTATTTGGGAGTATCCTGGATGCGGGTAGCACAGGACCGATTATCATGGGAATCTTTGGGGGAAGGTCTATGCCCAGCAGTGGACATCTCATGGCTGAACAAACAAGCAAACAAAAGAACATTAAATTTCTGTTAATTATTACTATAAATGCGAATGTTTTAATGGATAGCTGTTAGTTACAGGTATCTCCGGAACGTCTCAACGGATCTTGATGTAATTTTACACAAATATAGAACATAATCTGGAAGAACATATAGGCTACTCATTAAAAAAAATTCTTATTCCGTGCCGGTCGGAGTCTCGGGTGACAGCCAGTTGTTAATAATGTGAGTTTAATCAAAGTGATACTTTTAGTGGTCTGGTTGTTTTACTACTTGTATGTTAACTCTATGTTTTTAACAATGCAATATCGTACAATATTTGATATTCCGTAAGGAATTCCAACTGGCATTAATACGGGAAAGATTGGTGCCGCAATCTGTCGCCAGATGGCGCTGCGAAACGGGTGTCGATAAATGCCTTTGTTATACAAATATCACGCCTGTATGGTAGAGGTGTAGACAGAGTATATAAAGAAATGTATTTAGTTTACTTCAAATATCCAATTTCTATTTATCGACTATTCGCACTAAAGTACGTAAAGTGCTGAAAAAAAAGGTTAGTAATAAAAAAGATAGAAGAATAAAGAAAAAAGAAAAAGATAATAATAAACTTAAGTTGTTTATGTGTCGTTGGCATTTTCTTTTAATAATTAAGAAACTTTTCCATTGTTTTTCGTAATAACGCACGTTTATTAACGCGCTAATTCAAAACTATAATAACATTAAACTAATTAAGACCTTATTCCAATAGCATAAAGTATAATTTACGTTAATTAACGCTACTACCGTCTAGGTCTCAAAGTAAATACCATTAATCTGCAGCTGAAAATCCAAAATTATCCTGATATATATATAAAGGTCTGTTTGTTTGTCCGTGTTTGGACAGATTGCGCGGCCGCCGGCCAGCTGGGCCCCCGTGTTATGTTTGGAAACGTATTTATTGTTTATTCTGTGAGAGAAACGTTTTTAATCCTAGCCAGCTTCGGCTGACGGGTGATTTGTGCCCGTGATACTTTACAAATGTTCAATGCAATTTTAGTGCGAATGTTTGCTTTTTTCTCGATAAACTGCTCATAGTTTTAGTGAAAATAATTAGAAGACCAATTTATCCTTAACCCTTAATTCGATTTATAGCAAAAAAACTGTTTTTTTTTAGTAAAGTCATACTTACGTAATTTTCTCTAAACTAGTTCAGTACATTTTTTTTAATTAGTTGTTCGTCACACTGAACACCATCGAATTAGGGTTAATTGTTTTGAATTATGTTTTTTTTAATAAACAATAAATATTGTTAAAAATTACCATTGATTTTTGAGACCAAAATATCTGTATAAAACGTTTAATGAAGATTTCGATCTCAGAAACCCATATTAAGTTACATAATATTTATATCTCGACATCTAAAAAAAATAATTGATTTTATTTCAATGCAAAAATCTAATAATACGTAGCAATACGTAACTCTTGCTACGATACCTTACGTAGACGCTACGCTTCTAAACCTTTGCTACGACATTGCTACGCAGCGTAGCTACAATATTATAATTTTTTATATATTATATAAAATTTTAACTTAAAATACTG